TATATATATATATAGATTCTCCTTCATTGTTAATACAAATTTATAATTACCATAACACAACTTTCACAAATAAATTCTTCACATTCCATACACCAACTAATAGCGATAATGTTATCATGACAGCTAGTACATTTTTTTTCTTCCTCAGCTTCCTTAGCTTCATCATCCAATCCTAGATCACTTTCTTCCTCTAATAATTTTGACAGAAATCTATTTTCAATCAAATTTTCCACCTGGCTAGTTACGTTGCAAACATGACATATAATCACGTTACTCTCTACTGCAAAAGATAACATTAACATAAATAAAAAATAAATTTAATGTAAAATTATAATAAATATCAAAGTAGAAACAATAGTATTACTGTATTTAACAATCAAATATTGCAGTACTTAATAATCTAATATTGATAGAATACATCAACTTTTCTAAAGATCATTGAGAACAAAAAAAAAGAAGTTTACATACACAAGATATCTACATCGACTGATGTATTATGATCGCTGATTTTATTGTTAACGCACATTATGCAAGCTGCATGTAAGCACTCCAGAAGCTTTGCGTCCTCACCCATGGTGAACACTTTACTACAAAAAACGCATTTTGAAAGAAATGCACGGATCTCACTTTCCTGACTTTCAGTAGTGCACTCAATACGTTGATCGTTGCAGTCTTCCTCAATGCAAATTGCATCTTGCACTTGAGATTGCTGTGTATCTTGCTTAGAAATGTTTTGCTCCGCAGGTTCCTCCTTCACTACTACAGGTAATACTACGGGTAACGTTGACATCCCCACCACTAATTCGTTACTTTGATTTTCCATGGTTAGTGGAGATTCGAAGATACAATCTCTTCACTCTTTTCAGAAAACAGCTTACGTTATAACTTGTGGCAAAAGTTTTCTCTCGAATAGGGTAGCGGGTACGGCGCTATGGCAGCCATTTTAATTAATGCATACACATCACAAACTTCTGTGGACGTTTATTATCATTCGATGATATACCGAATATTTTTCGAATTAAGAACATTGAATATAAAATTCTGAATAAAAACCGACTAGATATATTTTAATTATTTATTTTCAACTTTCATCAATATTTTTAATTTTTAAGGCTTTGAGTATGTACATATATACAGACAAAACTTATGGTTCCTGCACACTGGACTGCACAGGATGTTGATGCTTGCCGCGGAATTTAGTAACTTAAAGTCCTGTATCCATGGTGATAGGAACTCTGTCCGAACTCCGAATTCTCAGACCGAGAAATGTGTAGTCGATCAACTTGCCATTTTTCCGTAAAAACTACATGTTGAGATTGACTGATACACATTCCTGGATCCAAAAATCCACTCGGACCGAGTTCTAGCATCGTGGACACAATTATGGTACGTTTCCACTGAGCGCGTCAAGGTAAATTTTCACGAGCTGCTCAAACCGGCTGTTTCAGCGGGTTTGTTGTGTTCTGCTGGATGCAGCCATTGGGGACATTCAGCGGACTCAACAGTTGAGTGAGCGCTCACTGTTATTGCTGTATTCTTCTAAATCTAAAATTCTGATTGGATGAGCTAAAAGAATACACCAATAACAGCGAGCGCTCACTCAACTATTGAGTCCGCTGAATGCGCCCATTGTTCGTCTTGTAAAAATTTGCCTTACATGTAATCGCACCTTAGCATAGTGACGCGACCGAACCCGAACAAACCTTACCGAATTTACATTACTGATCCGTGCAGTTACTATTCGAGTATTTTATCGTCTTAAAAATTACTTTCCTCCTGATCTTAAATATAATTAATATTTTTTAATATTTTCCCTTGGTGATCATCTTTTCTATACTATTTGTTTCGTCAAAAAATAACAACTATTTTGATTCATGATGCTCGTGATTTGCGCAGGCGCAGGACGCATAGTTGTGCAATTTCCTTTTCTGTTGGAGTCTCCCAACGAAGTCTCCTAGTGGCATCCTATAACGTAAGTTTTATCGAAAATTGTAATTCTGTTTTGTATTTCTATAACATTTAAATAGCTAATTTTGAAATAGATTCACGTTCATCATTCATAACACAGGCATTTCTTTCTTAAATAAAATGTGCTCTAATGATAATTTTTTGTAATTGGTTTGAAAAAATATGTATCCCATGCACGTGGCATGCTTTATAATTTTCAATAAGTTACACGTGGCTTTGTACTTAAATCTTTGCATTTTGTCATTTTAGATAGTAAGAAAGTTGGAATATTAAGCACAGTTTCAAAAACTTTTATATAAATCTGAAATTACCTACGTTTTTGAGGTTAATTCTAGTTTTATTACATTTTGGCTACGTTTAACGCTTTCAGTGTTTCTATTCTTATTTTGCAACTTTTGCTTAAAGCATGTGAGCAATCAAATTGAACAGTCTCTTTTTTTTATAGATTTCTATAGATATCTATTAATACAATAAATAAGATAAATAATAAATAATTATGGTCTATTAGTTGAACGTTTGATGCTTATAATATGAAATCGTTCATTTTTCAAAATTGAAATGATTTCATATAATTCCATATTATTAAAAAGTTATTACATCTAAAAAAGCTTGTATAAGTTTTATAATTGAATTATTGAGGAAAAGTTTGTTATTTGTAAGCAAAAATAACGATAAAATTACACTTGATCTCTTTGTCAATATTATAGTAAAAATAGAGAAATATATAGTAGTCTTTAGCTCTTATTTAATGTAGCAATATATTCTTGTTCCATTTTTAATAATAATTGATAAAAACAAAACCCTATTTTAGGTTGACTCGTAATTCAACCACAACGTTAAAATGTCAGGAGGTTTAGACGTATTAGCCCTCAAAGAGGACGATGTTACTAAAATGTTGGCTGCTGGCACTCATCTTGGTGCTGAAAATGTCAACTTTCAGATGGAACAGTACGTCTATAAGAAAAGAGTTGATGGCAAGTAATATGTGCTTTAAATGCTTTAAACATAACTTATATTTTTTAGTATATAGATTATAATTACCATGTATTTTTTTTACAATTACAGGTGCTGGTGTAAATGTCATCAATCTTCGCCACACCTGGGAAAAGTTATTGCTTGCAGCTCGTGCCATTGTTGCCATTGAACATCCTAGTGAAGTTTTTGTCATCAGCTGCCGTCATTCGGGTCAAAGAGCAGTCTTGAAATTTGCAGCTCATACTGGTGCCACTCCTATCGCTGGACGTTTCACCCCAGGTGCATTCACCAACCAAATTCAGGTGAAAAAAAATTGAATACCCCACTTAATTTTTTAGTACGAAGATCAAAGTGATGAAACATTTTATTCCAGAATTAATACTTGTTGATTTCATTGGCTTAATCTTTTCTGATTTTGTTGCAATATTGTTAGATATTTCAACAAACAATTTATTTAGTGCAGTATATAGTGATCAAATTTTGTTTCTAGGCTGCCTTCCGTGAACCACGCCTGTTGATCGTCACGGATCCATCTACTGACCATCAGCCTATTACTGAGGCGAGCTACGTAAATATTCCAGTCATCGCTTTCTGCAATACTGATTCACCACTGCGCTTCGTAGACATTGCGATTCCATGTAATACTAAGAGTTTACACACTGTTGGTTTGATGTGGTGGCTGCTCGCCAGAGAAGTATTGCGTCTGAGGGGATCTATCCCACGTGAGACCAAGTGGGATGTTGTGGTCGATCTCTTCTTCTACAGAGATCCCGAAGAGGTCTGTACCATCCGATTACTGCTTTCCATTTTAAGTTTATCATAATGATGAAAAAATAGAATCCAGAAACAAATCTGTTGGTTTTTTTTATGGCTTAATCTTTTCTGACAAACATGGAGCAAGTGTTCCTCGACCAATTTCTCTGTAGCGATTGATAATGAGTTACGAAACACCTTTCTAGGCAGAGAAAGAAGAACAGGCTGCGAAAGAAATCGCGCCAGCAAAGGAATTCACCGGTCCAGTGGAGACTGCTCCTGCTCCGGAACCTGGCTGGGTGAATGATGTTGAGTCTACCGCCGTGGCCACCGAGAACTGGGCTGACGATGTAGCACCGCCAGCAGCTGCCGCTATTCCTGCACCCGGCGCCACACCGTCATTCCAAACGAGCGGTGATTGGGCTGCCCAGGTAAAGGACACATTCGTACTTATTTCCAATTCATTAAATTTAATTGATTTACCTATTTCTCTTTTGACTTGTACAACTCTGACTCATTTTGTATATGTATTTATATAAAACATAAGACAGTCAACACAAATGTCGTTTATCCTTGTTATTCATTAAATGTCTATTAAGGACAGAATGACATTTATATCGATCGTATCTACTAAAAGGAAAGCGGTCATTGATATCAATGTACACTTATTAATTGATGTTATCTGTTTAGCCTCCAGAGGAGTGGTCAACACCCGTCGCAACTGCTGCTGCTCAAAGCTGGGGAGGTGCAAGCAGCGAAAAGTGGTAATTCTGTGCTTGCTAACATCTCAAGGACAATGCACTTTGTACAATGTGTATAACAGGATTTTGAAACAAACACTACTACTGTGTACTCTTTTTCCTTATTCAATCCCTTACCAACATCCTATATCCAAAATTATGATACTCGCGAGCACTATTGAAGTGATTTTCTCTGCTAAGCGCAGTTGATTAGTGAAATATCAGTTTAATAAGCTTAACTACAAGTTAACTTGATAATTTGATCTGTTATTTACTATGCTTGCCGCTTTTGATTCAAGTGTAACTTGACGCATTCATTAACTTTAAAAGTTGTTCTCATTTTAAAACCATCGTTCGAAAGCAATTTTGTTAGAAAAGAAAATTGTTTTCCTAGCACAAAAAAGAAAATCGCGTTATGCATTCCATGTATGCATAAATTTTGGACACCCTGCATATTTGATTATAGAATAATTTTATTAAGGCTAAAAAAATGAAATATTAAAATACTACATTTTAAACTTTACAGCTTTCAAGTTCGTTAAAATATATTTTACAGAGCATTATAGGAGCACTTATGCATAATGTGTGTTGGTATAATATATATTTAAACTCCAAAGAATATATCATATATGTAGACAATTTATTTTATTACACGTATGTAGTGTTTATTTTATTACACATTAATGACATCGAAATGACACCTATATAATCATTTTTCGAAAAATAGATGAATGTCTGCATTTAAAATAAAATTTGGTTCTTCAAATGGTGAAATGGACAACTTTGCATTAGAATGATTGAAAATTGACTTAATCACATATAAGATAAATGAAATATTTTGTACTGCAATAATTCAATTCCAAAATAAATATACCATTTAAGAATAATCCATCGATACCAATGGAAAATGTCAACTTTTTAAAAAATGCATTTTTTTTGTTCTTAAAATTATGAATATCTAAGATTTTATTCAAATGACATTATACATACAAAAGTTAATTTTTTTACGAATGTTTTTGAACATTTTACGTATTTGTAATTTGAGCAAATTCGGATAAAATTTATTATTATATATTTCTGAACAAGACTATTAGAGTCCGACCAAAACTTTTGCTGAAATTGAAACGAAACACTCTGCTACATGGCAATTTAAACCGAAACCAAAATTAGAAAATAGAGATCCTAAAAAAAAAGTATGTTATATAGATATGCCCATACATCATATATTTATATCATTTATTGAGAAACAATAATTAAATTTCAGCCGAAATCGAAAATCGAAATTTTGGTTGTGTCAATTTTGGCCAAAGAATATAAATACTTCTTCAAAAACATCATAATTCAATTATTGAAACAATAGATCTTTTTTATTGCTGTACTTTCTGAACTATACACAGTGTAATAAGAAACAGTCCTAATTACACATATTAAAATTATTTATAAAGAGCTTATATGGTTTCAGTCGAAACTGACACGTAATGAATGTTCGTTTTCAGTTTCGGTAAAAGTTTCGATCAGACTCTAAAAAGTATACTTACAATATTTTTTATTATCGTCAAAACATTCTTTCATAGATGCAATCAAAATTATGCACATTTATTACAAAAGTATAATAAAAAAAAATACATTTTATGATCATCATTATTTGTAAACTTTGAAATCAGAAGAAATATGATTCATAAATGTAACTTTGGGCTCATTTCAAAAAAAAATATCCTCTACGAGGAAAATTTTACTTGATATAATTCAGTATATATATCACGTGTACTACATATATTTCGAATAAAATTTTCCTCGGAAAGAAACGTTTTTTACGGAATGTAGTAAACGTTAAATATATAAAACGTTAACTTTTCTACTTAAATTGATTTATAGTAACTACCGTAACATAACATCAATTTCATTTGCTTAGATACTGTACTGTATTCAAAGTTTTGGAAAAAAATTCCAAAATCAATGATACAATGAAATATAAAGAGGTAGACAGTGTACAATAGAATTTTAGAAATCGAGTATTAACCAATTCAAGTTGTGGAAGTATTCTTCACTGCACATTAATCATATCGAATATATAATCATAATATAAGATAAACGTCCCACTGTAAGTGTCTGGACATAAGTACATGTCTGGTCACTGGGATGTTTACCTTATATAAAAAAATTAATGAATCTTTCACATCACGTAATTACAGCGAGAGCCTTAAAAATTTCAGAGAAGTCGGGACGCTAAAATCCATCTATTTTTTAGTATATATCAGTTTAATGCTGTAATTTTTTTCTAAATAAGTTTCATGTATTCATGTTATTAATTCATACTCTTTATGAAGTATTACTTCATAGCAATGTTATTTTAAAATAAAAGTGCGAGTATGTCATTTGGTTTTTTCGTTTAGTATTCCAACCTCTCTAAGAAATTTTAATTACCATAAAAATAAAACTTCGCTTCTGTAAGAAACTGGCCCGAAATATAATACTGATAAAAGTTAGAAGATAAATCGCGGGTTATCTCTGCGTCAATATCTATTCTTGGACGAGGTGCAATCTGATAATAGTTCATTCATATACATTGACGAAACATTGGCATTCCAGGATTGAGGTAGAGATAACCCGCGAAATACATAGCTTCTATATAGGAAGTATCCGTGAGATTATTCGTACATTTAAAAAAAAAAAGATAAAATGATGTAATATTAATATTACAAAAAAAATGGGATTATAAAAAATACAATGTGTTTTGTAACTGCGTATCCGGCGCTCGGTGAATGAATTTACTCACCAGAAACGCTAATTTATGAGCATAGTGACAGGGCGCCGGTACTCTAACGGTATTTGAACAATTGTAGTACATATGCGTCAACTTATATGTAAGACGCTGTATCTTGTCAGGATCCATACCTAGAGTATCGTAAACAACGCTATACGCAGTGGGTGTTACTGTTCCCTGCCGCACTTTCTGCGATACGATAAAGAAATCATATTTGATCGGACTTGTGATTACATCGTCGACTATTGTGCCCGGTTCCGGATTATCGTTGTTCTCAAAGAAACGTGTATTTAATCGCTTCGTGACTATTATGAAAGCCATTCTGTATCTATCTGGGCCACCGTACATTCCGTCAAGCTTCTTCTTAATCTGTGTAACTTCACGATCCATTACCAGGGGAACTTGACCCTCACCGACGCCATCGCGATAAATCACAATGCGTCCCGGCAGAGTTTTGTTTAGCGCGTAGTACGCTTGTACAGACTTGCATATGTTGTCAGAAAGGTCATTCGATAATTCCTCACCGGTTTCATGCGCGTTTACCGCGCTGAAGTATTGTGTCATGCGTCTATTCAGAGTCGCTACTGTAGCACCTGCAACAGCAAATTCAATATTAACGATGTGCATAGATACGTAGAAATATTAACTGAATTATTTTTTATTTTTGAATGTAAAAGATAAAATATTGCAGAGAAAGAGAGAGAGAGAAAGAGAACCTTTATTTTTATATTTACATTCTTATTCTTATAGAACAACGAGATTAAGAGAACTTGACTCAATAAATTTTAGAACGCATTCATTAAAACATGTATTGATTAAATATCAAATTTTTATTTTAATCGATAATATTTTATTATCTGTATCTTATACATGTAAAAAAAGATCGCATTTTCTTAATCAGTTCTTTCTATATAAATTTTGTTTGGAATAAAATGAATCCAAGAAAAGTCAATTAATCATAAAGTTAAAACATGATATCAAAAATCGACAATTAATTAAAAATTTTTACGATTCAATTTAAGAAACTATAAAATTACAGGTTGCAATTTTGACATTTTTGTGTAAAAAAAAAAACTTTAAGAATTTTTCATACTCACCGAAATCTTTGTTCTTCATTGTTGTATCATGGCAAACATCGAACCCGATCATCATTAGCCCTTCCAACGGAATATCCACGTACCACGGTGCCCCACCCAATTTACAACTCATTTGTATTGCTATTTTTGTGGCAATAGACTTAAGGTTTTTGTGCGTCAATGTCCTCAACAAGCAAACCTGTGATGGGACAGGTCGGTCAATGCAGCATTTTTTCTTGATGGCAGAGTAGCGATCGCTGCGATTGTTTGATACCACGCAAAATACCAACTGTGGTATTTGTCTGCTAAGAATATGTTCCAGTCTTTCGTTATATGTGCCAGGTCTATCATCACGGATATATTCGGACCTTGGTTTATCTATTTGAAAGTGTATGCCTGCTGCTAATTTTAATAAAGTTGAAATAAAATTCTGAAATAACATATTGTGATTAAAATAAAAATTCAAGATTTATCAATATTTTAACACGTGTTTGAAATATCGTGCGTAATATTGAAAACATAACATTGATTTATACAAGATTAGTGTTTAAAAAAATTTTTTTAATTATGTATATGTAATAATAATAACAGATAATTTAAGATAGACTAAAGAGAGAGATTTTTAATAAAGAATGTGTAAAAGTGTGTGTGTAGAGATATATCAATAAAATACAATTAGTTGTCCTGTAAGAATATAGATACTTTGAAGAGTATATTTTCTTATCTTTATCTTTTACATTAAAAAATAAAAGATAATTCTATTATTTTTTTCACGTATACATGCATGTGTCAATGACAGAAACATGTATACAGTTATGTAATATAATAATATAGTATGCCACATTCTTAGAAAATCTGCAATACCTGTTCGAGAGATTTATCCCTTTCCGAAATCAAAAAGACCCACTCTTTCAATCTTGGAGAAATCACACATTTTTTATTCATCATCGCTCTCGTCCAATCACCTTGCTCGGCATTGGCAGATACGTCCCCGCCGAAATAGATTTTTTCATTAAGTAACTGCCGCGCAGGAATTTGAAGCAGCTTGTTATCTAGCTGTAAATTCCATTCGGATAATTCTTTCACGATATCACGTTCTTCACAAAGCCTTTTATTAAATCTTAATAATTTCTCAATACGCTTTCCAGGTTGAAGACGTGTCTCAACAGCCAAACTTGACATGAGTTTGTAATTTTCTCTCATTGAATCGGTCAAACCTGCAAATAAACAACAGCATCACATCAGGAATAATAAATAAACTATACTTCACATAAATTTATAGTAACAAAGAAAACATTTCTTTGCCATTCAAAATCAAAGACGAAGTATAATAAAAAAAAATAATGGAAAAATAATAAATAGAAGTTATTAATAAAACATAACGTACCTGTTGCACGACATAATTCAGGAACCAAATAAACACGCTCTCCCTCTCCAGCTTGTCGATCCCTCGTTTTGGATCTCGTCACCAGCATTGGATGTCCAGGATTTCGAATCTTAATATCATATTTTTGTCTATAATAGTCTATGTATGTTATACTTTCGCCGTTTCTCAAAGGAAATGAGTTGCTAGGAGAAGCCGAGAAATCTACGTCCTCAATGCGGTATGTATTGTTGTTATAATCGGTAAGAACTACAGTGCCGATTACAGCATTACAGAAATTTTCCTGCAGGACACATATACATTTATTTATTTTCGCGCAATGTAATAAAAAAAAATAAAAGTATTATTACGAATTAAAATAAAATAAAAAACAAAATAGAATAGATGATTTCATTTAAAGCGCCTATTTCCTCACTACATAAGAATACATTATAATTGTATAATGTAAGAAAGAAACTCACATGATTTTTCGCTTGTAATTCAAGTATAATTCAAGTATAGTTACAATGAGGAAACTATAACAACGTAATAAACTTTAATCTTCTCGAAAAAAAAAGAGTTATTTTTATATAAGAATTCTAGCAAAAATCTAAAAAGTTTTAAGACGAAGTGCAACTTACTCTGAATCTATCACTATCTTCTCGATACAAGCTATTCAAGATATCTCCCAAAGTTTCTAATCTCATAACCTTACTCGATATCTCGACACACATTAAAATATCTCGTTCATGTTGACGAATAGATGATACATATCCTGGCCACAATTCTAATTTGTGTTGCGGCAAAACAATCTACATTAACACGATAGAACAATTATTTCTTGAGCACCGAGTTTTTTCTGAACACAACAGTGCATCTGTGAATGTACTTACTTTACTCCCAGGATCAAAATAATTGCGACCGACCAATTTTAGATTTAAAACTTCGTAACATTTTCTCACAATTATGTTAAAGAATTGGATGTAATGAGCATCTCCTACCAACATATCACCAACAAGACGAACAGTAATTGTTATATGCTGTTCATCCGATTGTCGAGTTGAAGTAAATACCATTCGCTAAAAAATATTTCGATTACATTTAAGCATTTGAAAAGATATATAAATGACATTCACGAGAGATGAATACTGTATCATCTATGCCTTTAATACTTACATCAGATAATCGGTGACTTGTATACATTACAGTGCCATCAAAGATATATGCACCAATTTTCTTTTGATGTACTTTGAGTAAAGCTTTACGCACAACTGTGCGATCTTCTTCAGGTGAAAAATCAACACGATACTGATAAAGAGCCCAATCAGTCGCTTTAAGTACTTTAAAGTAATTTACTTTTATTACTTTGTGAGTACCAGATGAACCTGAAAATTAGAGTATGTACAAAAATGTAATTTTCGTAAAATAAAACAAAAATTTTGTGCGTTAATATTGACATCAAATTCAGAACATTCAAAAATAGATATCGAAAAATAATTAAAAACTGTAAAATGTCTATAAGAGTTAACACAAGCTGGTTATGTATAATAACGTTTTTATTCGATATAACAATATAATAAATGTTTCAACCCTCAAATATACATTTGTTTCACTTCTACCTACATTTATATCTGTCAGTTTAAAAATAAAAAGGCGTGATCACTTAGACGGAGACATTCTGTGTATACATTATTATATTATGTATTATTGCTTACCTTTCTTATTCTCTACATGACTCGGTTTTGTCACAAAAATATCTGCAGGCAAGATTCTTCTGCCGCGAGCTGCCCCTCTACTAGATGCCACAATAGCTACAGGACCAGCAGCTACAGCACCAGCACCAGCACTGGCACCAGCATCTCCACTACCACCAGCTATATAAAAAATTCGTTCTTCATTTAATATCGAAGAAAGAACATGTCTACAACGACATAAATTTCTAAAATATTTCGATTATAAAAATATATATAAAGCCATAAACATCTAAAATTGTGTTATACAAAGAATATGCTTATTTCATTTACGTATCATAAAAAATGTATGTACCAATGTCTTTTTATTACAGAAGAAAGAGTCTAAATAAAAATCTTATGTGTATATACAATAATTATTACACGATTTTATTATCAATTTTATGCCTAAAAAGAATTTTATTAAAATAATGAAAAATTAAATAAAATGAAAAATTTCAACGTATTATGTTTGCACTGTATAGAATAAATCTAAAAATCATAAAATAAAATTATGTACCAGTAGGTTGAATACTGAGTTTCTCCAAACCTCTGCCTATTTGTGCAGTTGCTGCACTGTCACCTTTTTCACCAACACGTTGTATTACACCGCGTCCAGTACTCTGACAAAAAAATTTAGATTTATTTAAAAATTGACGACTGTGATTGTTCAATTTTTAGCTTCTGACTTCTGATTTATAACTAATGGCTTACTCTAGAAGGCCCATAAGGGGAGATTTCACTTCGGAGGGTAAAAAAAATCAATTTTTTAATTATTTTTTGCATCTCTGAGGTATAGAATATGCCTGTAAAAGGATTTTGCAATATTCAAAATGTTAAAGCAATTTATGACTTGTTAAACTGGATTTTGCATCGGTCGAGAAAATTAAGTGAGCTCAACGATATTACGTGCAAAAGAAGCAAGGCTCGAAAGAAGAGCTCAAATGCAGCAAAATTTATTCTTCGAACAGAGGAAAAATTGACTTATATGGATCAGGAATCGCTGATTAAATGTAAGCTGCAAAATATTAACTAAAATCATTATAAAATAAAACTTTATTTTTTCGCGTTTTTCTCGAATTCATGTTTTTCAAACTGGCGGGAAATGTACAGCTTCAACCAATCATCAAAGACTGACTTGATGTTTTTTCCCACGTAAAACAGACAATTTTTATGAGGCCACGAACCTAGAAATGTCATAAATTTTCCAAAATAACTATTTCTTTGAACAGGTTAAAAATGAAAAAAAGTCGTGAAAATTGACATTTAATTTCAAATGGTTGCCATTCTGTAAATTTTCAAACTTTTCAAATGAAATGAGCTTCATGGCCCCACAAATTTAATGTATTTTAATAATTTCATTGACTTTTTTGTCTCAGATAAACTGTCGACAGCCAGGATTTTTTGTCAATTGGCCACGTACGCGCGCTGATGCATTCCTATATGCCATTTTTTAAATAATTTTTTCGATATAAAGAGACTTTTGTTTGCAAACTGTACTTAAATGATAAAAATTAAATGATTGACACATTATCATTCATTTGATATTTCTAAGAAATGTTAAAAACATTATGATCTTAATACAATTTTTACATCTTTCATATTTGAAGCAACAACTTTGGACAAAACAACATTTGCTTGATTCTATTGTAGCAGATCCGTCACGCATTTTGTGGAGATTTCACGATCGGATTTATGCTTCTTTATATATCATGTATAATACATGATAGATGCACTGTAAAGAGGAAATTGAGATCTTTCTATTGTTTTTTTAAATATCGAGTACTATTCCGTGAATAAAATTTAAAAAAAAAAAAACTTATTTTTGCTTTAATGTTGAATAATTTGGTAAAAAAAGTCATACAACATTCAACAAATACGCAAATTAAAGCTAAATTAATTTGTTCAAGAACTGTATACTGCTTTTGTGATTTTCAGCGAGTTATAGTTTTCAAGTTTTTTGGAAAAAATGCAATTCTTCCTTTAACGCTTTGAAACATTTTGAATATATGATCATATGAAATTTTCGTCTTAAATTTGTATGAGAAATCACTGCTTAAAATCTTTTACAGTACTTATTATCTATCCTGTATATTACCGATTGTGTAGTAGATTGTCCTGGTCTGCGAATAGCTCCAGTGCTCGCTGATGCCTGAGCATGTGGAAGTTGCTGTTGTTCCTGCTGAGGCGTAGAACTTGTCTGCTTTTGTGTTGCCCGTCCACGGTTTGCTCTCCCTCTTCCTCCTCCTCGTTGAGACATTTTTATCTAAATGATTGAAATGTTGGAAAAATTAATAAATAAGATCGACAGGAAGAGAAAATAGAACAAACGCTCAATCTCTAAAAAAAATTAAGAAAAAATGTTCAACAAAAAATTTGAAGGTTAATAATGTTTTAAGAAATAATGCTTATGTTAGATATCTGTTAAGATCGACATAATGCACAATATCGTTATACACACGTGCTGCGTTCCGTTCACTGCAGGTAGTGAAAATCTATAATATATTTGAACTATATTTTTTTAGTGATAACGAAACGCAGTCATAATGTGACCGGATATTTTCAGATTCAAAGTGGAACAATTTTACGTTTGGGGAGGAAAAGTGAATATATGAAGCTGTAAAGATAATTACAATAACGATTTTTTGAAAAAATAATACAATTATTCTCACAGTTTGATATCCATATTTGGCGAGATAGGTATGGCGGGACAATCTGGGAGCGGGACATCTGGTCACATTTTATATGTATATATGATACATGTATACATATATAAAATGTTTATATGTGTATATATTTGAAATTAAATAATATATTGTAGCAATTTTACCAAGTTGTGTTGAATGTTGAATATCGCTTTTAATTTTCGGATTATAACATCAGCAATTTCGATTCTTTTTGGCAGTGTTCTGAAATATTCTGAATGAAGCTGTATAGGAGCCTCTTCGATTTTGTTCCCGGCCCGGGATCAGATAGCTAGTAGCATAAAAAATTTCGTTTAGGGAGAGAGGGAGATTATCTCCTATTGGGCAACAGATTCCTATCCAGGAATCAGATGTTACTCCTTTCTTGTTAGCAAACAAGGATGACGCAACACCCGGATAACGAAGCACTCGGGTAGAAATCCGAACACATCTCTGAATCTCTGATTGGTTTTTCTGGTCTCCTCTCCTAAAGCTAATCAATCTGTTTTTTTTCCCAACCCAAATTCTGAATTGGTGTATGTATGTACATACACTGCAATAAATTAAAGGACCATGGCACAAGACAAAATTAATTAAACTTTATTAGATTTCCGCGTGTTCTGTTCCGCCTGTTTTGATCTTCTAATATTACATAGAGCACAAAAAACTTAAAGATTACATACTCTCGGATAAGTTGAAATCGTGTTATTTCTATCGCTATTCCCTCGCATTGTATCTAGGACTTTTATCACTACTGCTACTGCTTATTACCCCGGATCTATAATAGAGTTTTGCGGGGTCTACAATAGAAGTCGTAGCAGTCGTAGGGTCTTAAATCGTAGAGAATTGACCAATCATAGTCGATTATTCTTCTCATATTCTACTGTGATTGGTTAATTTTCTACGACTTAAGACTCTACGATTGCTACGACTTTATTGTAGACCCTGCTTTTTAAGCCTTAAGCCATAAGAAATGGACGAATCATAGTTAATTATTCTCCTAGAATTCGACTGTAATTGGTCAATTTCTTACGACTTAAGGTTTAAATCACTGACTTGTGCTACACGGCACGCTTAATCGAGTTTAATAACATCCGTAGTTATGAAATTGGCCAATCATAGCTTTTCGTCGGGAGAATGGAGAATGATTGTGATTGGCCAGTTTCATAACTACGGATGTTATTAAACTCGATTAAGGGTGCCGTGTAAATGTAGTCACTTATTGTAGATCCGGACTTATGAGGTTTGTTCGGGTCGCATGCTCCAACATGCTCCTACTTCCTCCAACCGTAGCTCTTACTCAAACGCACTCGTTAGAGTAGGAGCTACGGTTGGACGAAGTAGGCGCACGTTGGAGCGTGCGACGCTTAAAGCCCATTCTACAATTGCGTAAGCGTAGTTGTAAGTGGTTAAGTGTAGTTGCAAGAATTAACCAATCAGTCCAATATGAGGAAAATACGCGACTGTCGCTAATCAATTCTTATAACTACAATTATGTTTACACAATTATAGAATGGGCTTTAGACAAATATAATTTGTTTCACTATAAACTATTGCACTAGTGTTCAGGGCCCCTAAAAGAATTTCTTGAAAAGAATCGCATACGAAAAACTAGGGAAATACTATAGTATGCGTTACATAAACTATAGCATTTCTCTAACTTTTCGTATGACACTTTTCAAGAATAGAGCCCCTGAACTAGTTCAAAATTCTTCGAAAAAGAACAGACCTAGAATTGCTATGTTTGGACGCTTTCAGCGCTTCCATGTTTTATGTCTAATGAACAATATAGACCGAATGATCAGAATTTCTAGTCCTTTCCACACTCTTTGTTCTCTCTTCTCTCTTCAATCTTCTTAGTTTAAGAACGGAGTAGAGAGAAAGCAAGGGATTGAGGAAAGGAGCAAGAGAGTGAGAAAAGGATTAAAAATGGCGGATGCGAATACTCATATTATAGCGCCTTAATCATAAGGGTGCTATTAGGACACGTTCGGAGAAGCAGGAAGCGGAAAAGTAGTGACCAAGCGTCAGAACTTGCGCTGGTAGTCGACAATTTTGGTTTTTTGTATTATTTATTAACCAACGCGAGTTCTGATTGACCACCGTTTTTCCGCTTTCTGTTTTTCCGTCAAGGTATGAACGCGCCCTTACATGAAGCGGGGAAATGCAGAAAAATACGGAAAATAAAATTAATTAAACTTTACTAGATTTCCACCTGTTTTGATCTCCTAATATTACATGAGGCCTGTTCTTTTTGGCTGAACTTTTGCACCAGTTCATCTTTCTTTCTTTTCTCTCCAGGAGGAAAGAAGAAGAAGAAAGATGAACTGGTGCAAAAGTTCAATCAAAAAGAACAGGCCTATAGAGCACAATTTGAGCGGAAAAACGGAACGGGGAATTAGAAATCATTAATTTTTAACGGTATTTATTGATTAAAATGCTTGTATTCAATACATAAGCTGAAAAGATAAGCATATCAATAAAAATTGCAATGAATTAAGTGAATACAATTTTTTAGTATATTTGTCAGGCTTAGCGTCCCATGGAGCGGAAATTTACAACGGAACGGAACAAGCGCGATCAATCCCAGCTCTACAGTCATTATTCCGCTTTCGTTTCTGCGATCGATTGATCTCGCTGTTCCATTCCGCTGTAAATTTTCGCTCATGGGACACCAGTCTCTCACTATATCGTTCTGCTTTTGCGCAGAAATTGTGCTCCATGTAATATTAGATCAAACCAGGCGGAACAGAAACACGCGGACAACGCGGAAATCTAGTAAAGTTTAGTTAATTTTGTCTTCCGCGTTTCTACGCTTCATGTAATGGCACCCACTCCAAGTGGTTAAAGCGTGTGAGCGACCAAGCCTCCGAAAAATTTGTCCGTTTTTCGTTGTAAAACCATGTACTTGTATGCCCAGCGAACGTAAAACTTTGTATTGTTATTCGTTACATAAAAATGTAATTGCTATGTGCAAACGATCATCGAATCTAATTGAGTGCTAGTATTCGGTGCGATCAGGAAAAAGAATAAACTCCGAACATGTGTTTGTTTGCTAGCTGTGCGATTAGTCGCGCGCGCGCTTCCGTTCCGCTGTAAATTTCCACTCCATGGGACGACAAAGTCTGACAAATACACTTTTGTATTCATTGTATAAAATTGTATTCATTTAATTCATTGCAATTTTTTCCAGTATGCTAACTGGCTGCAAGACAGAGAGATTGTCCAATCTATAGCCAATCAACAGGCTAGAAAAATTTGTCGTATGTACAACACGGATAAATTATTGATCTGTTTTCTGTTCCTGCACTAGGCTGCTCTCTTTCTCTTAAGGCCCGTCTACAATACACGGATTAAGAAGTAAGAGTAAGAAATTGACCAATCACAGTCGATTATTCTTCTCACATTCGACTGTGATTGGTCAATTTCTTACTCTTATTTCTTACTCCGTGTATTGTAGACGACGCCTTATATAGAGTAATCCCGGATCTAAAACAGAGTTCTAAGCCTTAAGCCGTAAGAAATGGACGAATCATAGTCGATTATTCTTCTCGAATTCGACTGTAATTAGTTAATTTCTTACGACTTAAGGCTTAAAACACCTATTGTAGATTGTAAACCAGGGTAAAATTAAAGTCTCTAACCCCCCACAGAGGTTATCACAGGATTCAAGATCCAAATCTGCTGCATGGTACTATAATCCTTTTTTTTACTGGAAAACCGAGCAGAGGGATAATATTAACTCTTTCTCGCTTCCGACAAGTATCGAATATATATCTATCTCACTTTAAAGTTCCAAGTGTTCAACCACAGAAAACGAAACTTAACGTATGACACAACAAATTTCGTTAAAACAGATTATCCGAGAATCACTTCTAACAAGTTCGGACGTGTATCATATAAACAGATCACATAATGGTCGCTGGCAGAAAGGACAGGCACAAAAAATGACTCAGGCAAGAAAGACCTCACAACTGTAGGTTACGGTGTGAAATTCCGATAAACGTAAAAAGAATAGGTAAAATTTAACAAAAAAACATATTTTTAAAAAAATTACGTAAAACAGGGGAACAAGACTTCGTTGGAGATCTAGAATCTTCAAAGCCCGTAGGTTAAGCATTGGAGAGCGAGGAAAAATTGAAGAATGAAAATTAAAATTCGATCATAATCAATGTAATTTTGATCTATTTCGTTCTAAATAAATGACTAATTTTCAATTCGCAATTTTCAATCTCTAATATGTACGATCCGATAGGTTTTGCAAAACTACGATTTATAATGAAAATTACATACTTTCGGTATCAAACCATCGTTCATTTATCGTTGCTATGCAACATATTAAACGCAAGAGTCACTTTTTAACAAAAATCGCCTGGCAGCGCCGGGCAGCATTCCCCACATTCCCCGCTCATTTTTTTGCAGAGAATTATAAAAATTTCCAGTCATCTCCGATGGCAGAAACGTCTCTAATGCTCCCCTCGAAATTATAGTTCTCAAACACCGTACTTGAATCATGTTACACTTTTCTTGGATAACATCTGGTATTTCTTTGTGTAACACGAATACGCGCGCTTAAACATACGAATGTACTTAAGTGTGCCAGTCGTGATTCATTAGGAAATTTTCTGGTACTCTTTTAAGTCCTACGATAGAATTATCGGCTGCTTCGCCTTGTCGTTTCACTCGGATAAACTATACAATAACAAGATTGAGCGAAAATTAAACATGCTTGCATTATTTAACTCGATAACTAAGACGCGGTTGGACGAAACGACGTAATCTCCGTTGCGGCATAATCTACGTCCTGTTGCCTCGAATTAGATCGCACCAAGGATGACCTAATTCGATGCACAAACGTGTGTAGAAATCGTTGAACGAAATAAAACAATGGATGGATCTCTTACCTCTCGATAGCTTCCTCTTTTTGAACGCTTTCTCGTTTCGTGCGACCTACTCGACCGTCTCCAAAATCAGAAACCTTAAATGGCTCAAACCACCACCTTACGAGCCACAGAGTCCAACAGCGTCCAAGTAAATGTATACTGGCTAACATCATTCCGAAGACCGAGAAGGGCGTGTTTTCCTGCGATAAAGATGCTTTGATTGGCAAGATCCGAACGATCATGTGACGTAATAGCCAATGAGCCCGACGATACGTGTCACGTGGACTTTTGAAAATACAATCTCATCCACGCGAAAGGCTTTCAAGCCGATTTTTTTTCAGAATGCGAGACACAACGATGTTACGGCATAAGTCCAAACTCATCTACTACGGTACGTGACAAAATAAAGCTACGGGAAAGGCGGCCTAAGCGATAAATCGACGATAATGTTTGTCGAAGTGATATCTCAAGCGGCCAATAGGAATGCTTGGCTCAAAGGACGCATTTCATTTGGCGCTCGCAACATTTTCAGTACAAGAATCCCTAGAAGTAAAGTTCTTTGTCCTAGGGAAAGAGTTACATGATGCCCCGAAAACGACTCGAACATCGATTCATCGATTATGACGATTATTTGTATCCGTCGGCCGTTCCTAGGTTAACGTTAACGTTGTTCAATCATCGTTCGACTTCTAAATATCAAGGACATCTGTTACATCTCGTATGTATATACATACATATCTTCTTCTTCGTTAAATTGCGGAAGCTATTGTCTTCAGGAAAAGATTATTGCTGCAGTGTGATTTTTCCTTACGGTTTTTCTCGCGAAGAAATTGCTGTGGTTTTAACGAATTGAATGAAGAGCTGTCGCTAGTTGACTCGCTATTCCGACACTTTGTTTTGCGGCAAATGTCATCCTTGGTGAACATGTGATTATGTGATCGGTGCAGGAAGTGCCAGAAGTAATCAGATTTACCATGACACCAGCATCTCGCGAGTCCGTCGTTAATCTACTAAATGTCAAGGAGAATCCTGACGACAAGGCGAATACGACGAACGAGGGCGAGAACGTGTGCGACTTGCAACCTAACCTGCCAGTTGAGACGTACCATGCCGTGTACATTCCATTGGAATACAAAGACCAATCAGATGGAGAAGGTAATTAATTAAATGTCGAGTCACTAATTATTTTTGTAGACGTTGCTTCGTAAAATAGACATTGCGCACAAGGTCTGCTTTTAAACATGCCAATTCTATTAAGAAACAGAATGCAGTGGTGAAATCATGGGACAAAATAATTATTGCTATTATTACTATTATATATTAATATTATGATCCCTTCTTACAGAAACTCTTCATGTTTATCTCGAGATGCAGGCTGCCTTAAAAGTGATAAACACATATAAAAAAGGCCGTTTGAAAAGTTTTAAGAATCGTTCTGATGCTGTAGCATATGCAAAAACTGGATACAAACAATCTTCTTCCAATCATCCTGTGACAGTTACTACAGCACAAGAACAATCCAGTAATTTTAGAGCACCAAGCACACAGGATTTAATAGCTTTCAAATGGTTAATTGAGAGTGGAGATGTGAAGGCTGTGAAGAATATTGTATGGAAAAATCCAGGATATCTAATCAGTAGTGGAGATACGCCTGCCCTTTTGCAGGTAAATGTGTAACTTGTAACCAAATTTTTTTATACTTTACTATTTTATTTTTTTATCCTAATGTTTAAATACCAAGAGTGTAAATACTTTTATTTGTATATGCAAATAGATATAGAATTATATTTTTACATGTAACAATATTTCTGTTGAATTTTTACTGTTATTGTGTCATTATTAAGTGTCAATAAAATTTTGATATAAAATTACACAATAAATATATTTATCATACAAAATGAAATTATAATTTTATATTAGAATTAATGCATAATTATGCAACAAATATATATATATTTTTTTTTAATATAGAAAATATTTATATTTTTAGATGGGCTCTCGATATAATGCTTTACATATAGCAGCGAAAAAAGATAAACCAAAAATGTGCGAATTCTTATTAAACACCGTCGGGGATCCCAAATTTATGCAACGGTATTATGGGGAAGATAAATGTAAAACATACCTGAATCTTGAACAGATTATGCAGGATTTATACTTAAATACACCAGACAAAGGACTCAATGAGACCCCGTTACATTTTGCTGTTAAATTTGGCTTTAAAGATGTTGTTCGGGTTCTTGTCTCCTATTCCCAATGTATTAAAACCTTGAAAAATAAGTATGAACAGATGCCTAAAGATGTGCGTTTCAAATAAATTCTTTACTTAGTGTTATAATTTGCATCTTTGCAATGTTAAGATCATCGTTCTCAGAGACATCTTATATATAAGCCCTGATTTTAGATAATATGTAATAGAAGACGCGAGGAAGATGAAGCTCTAAAGCGCGAGATACGTATGTTGCTAGAAGATCAATTCTATGTACCTGTATTAAGAACAGAAGGTAATGCATGTCCACCCATCATCGGAGAACCGTTCTCGCCAAATAATCCACTTGTAAGTACATTATATTCGTGTAAAGAATAGAACGTTTGTTATTTTTATTGTTTTTACTATTTTCAGAATTTGAACAAAGATCCTATCAGTCCTCATGTAGAAGTAAGAGCATTTGCTGGTCCAATGACTAAAACACAGGCAGTAGAATTTCGAAAAAAGTGGAAAACGCCACCACGTGTTACTCCCAAAAAGGGACAAGGCGACGCACCTAGTATTATGAATAGTCCTAGTATAGTCCTAAGGTTGCAAGATACAGAAAAAGGATTAGAACGTGTTGGAAGGTATGTATACATTAAATCCAAAATTTATTATTTAAAATTTAATTATTATGTAAAATTTATTACTGTATATTAATACCGATGATATTAATATATATTTGCATTGTGTATATATGTGTGTTAGATATTTTAAAATATTCAGAAATGTAAAAATTGCAATTGTGTGTGTTACAATTAAGATAATTTATTCTTATTATGTTGTTCAATGTAGATCGTAAAAATCAGACGATAAATAAATGACACTTTCATAGTATCTTTTAATTATACCTTATTTATTGAAATAAAAGTAGTAAAAAATAATTTGGTTTCAAAATCTGGTAACAACAATATAAGAATAATGAGATTATGAGCAAGATTGAGATGTGAATATAAAATGATTTCTTTAATAAATATAAGATGGAATGTTTTGACCTTATTTAGTTTTCATCAGCCATTGAGATGAACAATTAATAATGATGTATAGTATAAGTACATAGTATAAAGTATTGAGATAATAAAGTAGTATTAATAAAATAATATATAGTATAATAACTTTTTATTGGCGTTTAAGGTAGATATAATAAATGCTTGTAAAACCTGTCAATCTCTAAATCAATGTCCTGTAGTTAATTATATCTTTGATAAACTACTATATCTCTCTATTATTTATAGGCTCAATTTCACATAATTAATAATTTAATATTGAATTTAAATATTAAATTATATAATACATTGTAAGAATAATACTTCGTTACTTACTATCCACATTTAAAATGCTTTGCTTATATTACTTTCAATATTTTTCAAGAAATTGGCCGATGAAGGCCGATGAAGGCTACGTAAGGTCGAAACGTTTAATCGTTTATAATATTTTATATTTATTTAAACAATTATTTTATATTTACATCTCAATCTTATTTGTTTTGTGGCCTGATTATTGTTTTACTTTACAAATATAAGCGGTTTCCCTCACTTCCTTAATAATCTGTTTTCTTTTGATATATATTTTCTAGAGATCTTGCTGAAGAATATCAAGTGCTTTGGAAGGAGTATTGGCCGTTTTTGAAAGATTTTGTTGATTTTCGGAGTGACGATGGATTAACGAAACTTGAAAGATATTTGGAGCAAAGATTTAAGAATAAGGAACAATTATTTTACTCGACGGTATAAAAATCTATCCAATAATACGCTTTTAATGTTTACATTAATCAATTCTTTTAATGTTTATATTTTTTAATAGATAAATCCGATTAACAATGTTAATGCACTAGCAAATTGTGAAGGTGAACCAGTAAGTTGCCAACAGACGCCAAAAAAAGTAGATGCCAACGACATACAATACGTTTGTGATAAATTAAAGATGTGCTCATTAACTACTGAAATTGATAATAATGAAGAAGATACAGGTATCACGAGTTTAGTTTCTCTATAAAATCTAATTTTTCTAAATCTTATATCTATATCTTCTTTCTCGTTTGTGAAATTATGATATCCCAGGACTCAGATACAATAAAAGGAATAAGGAACAAGGAATAACAGATTTCATCCTATCTGTGCATTCCGGTATATTCGGTTTCTGGTAGGTTGAAATCTATTCCTTATTTCTTTATTGTGTCTGAATCCATTTTTAATCTTTTTTATTATAATCCAATTGATGTTAACTGTTTATCTTTCAGATAGCTTAGAATTTTTTACACCTCCATCTTCGCCAGAACTTGTTCAAGACGATTTTGATGACAATATGCAAGATGCGGAAGAAGGTCCTTTAATATTTATCGAAGGGTAAACAAATTTCTTTCATTATTTTTTACACAAAGACGAATATATTTCATATCATTGTTGATGTTTTTAGGTCTTCACCAACGAAATTAGATTATGCTGTTTACACCGCACTTTCATCTACGATTTGTCCTGATACGTATCCTTATATTTACCATTGGCGACACGACATGCAGCTAGCTATGAAACGTGATCCATATAGGTATATAATATTGCACTAAATTTAATATTTTTTTTTTAATGAATCGTACTTTATCGATAAAGTATGATTCATTAAAAACTGCAACATTGTTTGTAATGTCACAGTTTCATGTTAATACATAATTTTTTTTTTCTAATTTACAGGTTCAACAAGACATTCCTCAGAAAAAAATTATTTACAAATTAAATATCTATACTGTATTCAACAGATTTACTACTCTTCGCGCATACGAGACAACATAGTAGGCAAAGTGAGAATGTCGAGATTATTTCACTCGCACAATTTTCTAAGCCCATACTCGAGTGTGCTGTGTTTACATATACGATACAGGATACATCTACACTTTGTCGCCTTCTATGCGCAACGGTTGATAAAACTCGTTGAACAAAGTATAATCTCAAGAGTCTGAATTGCCAAATTTTAGATTAACGGTTGGATTGTTTCTTATTCTATATTAACAAAAAAAAAAACTAATTTACCTGAAGTTAGCTAATTAATGTTGACGTAACTCTCTGACCTCGTAAAATATATAGCGCCAAGACACTACTGTGTCTCCAGATATAAACCTTTTTTGCACAATGTTATTGGATAAGCAAATCATAAATATATTTGAGGTAAGATAAGAAGATATATTTTGAGACATTTTTACAGAGACTCGTAACTAGAAGTCTTCGTGCTCTAGTTTTTAAAGTAGCGTAACTTCTTTTTATTGTTCATTGTCTATAATTATAATAAATACTCATTATTAAAAAATACATTCGCCGATTTCCTTAAGTTTTGTCTCCGTCATACCTTAAGCAAAAAAATGCATGTTTTTACTCATACTTTATAATGTATTTATTATTAATAACTTTTATTATATATAATAATATTACTTATTTAACAGAACATATGTGAATTTTGCTTTTGTTAATATTGTCGTAATCACGACGTACATTATATCTTTTTTTAATCATAGTTTTTCTTGTTTATTGTAATTCATATTCTCAAGATTTAATTGCGACGATAATTTGTTTAATGTAATCAAGCATTAATGGGAGTGGGCGGTGTCTGTTTTAATTGCAAAATGATCGAACGCATCCGGGAAACATCCTTGGAAGTGCGGGACGATTTTGGATTGAATTCGCAAAGTTTGGCGATGCGCTCCCACTCAGTGCCTGGTTCAACCTCATCTGCCTCGGCGACAAATTGTTTTTCCGCATTCCTATTCGTGAAGAAATATGTATTAAATCAATGCCAGATCATGTATTGTATATCAGTTAGTAATGTAAAGAAATGAGAAATTAAGTGATATTTCTATTTCATTAATATATCGCAGAGCCTTGAGAAAAAGATTAAAAAAAATTTGTATTTTGGTATTATTATGTGATATGGACACAAGTGTAACTTGTAGTTATTAGACTTGATGTAAGAGTTACGCAATCAGTTCTTTATAGTATTCATATTATGCGTAAGCAAATAATGCTTAATTAATAAGCTTTTCTTTCTTTCGAATTATAGAAATAATTTTAGTATGAAAGGCAATAGGGGCAATTCATTATTAACAGCATTCAAGAAGTAAAGTGCATTTAACTTAATTAGTTTATGGATATTATAAAATATAGATACTCTTTTGAGAATAACTTATTAAGCAACATCATTTAGTGCAATCTCGAAGTGACTTTAAGAAACGATATAATATGTGATATGTGTATGAGAGAGAGGGGAAGATAGATAGGAAGGGAGGGGGGGGAGAGAACTGAGGTTCATACTGATTTACATTCAATAGGCAATATAGGTTGCATTCGGTTTGAATATTATGAGACTAGGGCTGCGTTTGTTTTTTTGCGCTCACTTGCTGTAGGCTTCTTTCTATCTTTTCTTTGCATGTAATTGAGAAAAATAGAATGAGGCTTACAACGCGTGAGCGCCAAAAGCGAACGCAGCCCTAGTCTCAGAGTTTGCGAAGCAAATCGTGTTATAATAACACATAAATGTAATGCAATGCATGTTTTCATGCGTATAAAGATATTTTAACTTACTTGGCTGACTCCCTAAGAAGCGAAACGGAAATAACAATTAAAAACTTTAAAAATCTATACATAGCATATAATAATGGACTAATCCATATTACTTGTATTTGACTAATTGTAAGTCAAATGATATATAATAACTTAGTCCAATATTAATTATATTTCTTAATAATATTTTACATTTTTAATATATTATCATTTTTTTAAATGGAAATATTACGTTGTTATTAGGGATACAAGCCTTGTTAAATATGTTTAATAGACGGTCATAAAATATTCTAATTAGCAATCACAATTTAGTTCAGTTACTTTAATTCGAATAATTTAGTTCAGTTTTTTAGATTGTCAATTTTTTACGAAATAAAGGTGTACAAGAAGAAAGAAGATAAAAGATTAGCAAAAATTACCTGTTAGTAGTCTTCGTTTTATTAATAGCTTCTGCATGATGCCTATACCATTCTTCTAATTCTTTCTTTGCAGCTTCTCTCCATTCCTCTTTCTTTTTTTCTTCTTCTGTATCTAAAAAATTTGCACACTTATTAATCATACTATTCCTAAATTTTTATAATAAAAATGCGTTACCTTTTTCTTCAAGACGTGCTTTTTGTTCTTCCCTCCACTTTTTAATCTTTTCAGGTTCCTCCTTAATGGGTGGAGGAGGTACTGGTTCTATGTATATAAGAACATATAAAAATTCATAAAGCTATTGTCTTAGGGCTGGAGGCTATTACTTTGAATGAAACATTTAATAATTACATTTTAATTATTGTAAAGCAATAAAGATGGCAAATCTAGATTACTTATATCTATAGTTCCATAACTTAAGAAGTCGCAATATTTCCTAAACGAAATGTTTGCGAGCAAACTTCCAGAGGAAAATCTTATTTGCATATTTCATGTTCTATGATGTATCTGCATTTTTGTGTGTCATAGCCATTACTCTTTTTAAGATAGAGATGTAAAATAATTTCATACCTGATGCTACCGGTAGTTGTCCTTCTACAGACTGCCCAATGGTATCTACAATTTCAAAACTGCCTTCAGCGTCACCTCCTGGACCAACTTTTAAATTTCCAAATTTTCCAGACAGCTCATCTATAAAATATTGTTTATGTTTACAATTTTTGTATTTGCACCTATATAGCACACTTTATCCGAAAGACATCCTAAGAACATCCTTTAACACTCAGAGGATATAGGAATATCCTCCGAACATCTTTAGGCCGTTCCTTGGAGGTCTGTGGTATATAGATGTGTATAATACAAATGAATCAGATGGACTCAAATAAGTACAATACAAAATGAACAATATGTATCTATAAATTTTAGAAATATTTTCTACTTATTATTTATATATATAGACATGTGTTTACCTTCAGTTTGACCTGTACCTGCTGCAGCCAGAGTTACAGCCATCGGTGTAATGTCATCTTCTAAACCAGCTAACTGATCCTGCTCCCTTGCTAAGAACTCTGCAGCTGGATCTATATCAGGTTCGTTGACAAAATTGTCACCAAATGCATCCATTGTCTGAAAAACATTGAAAGGAAATAAAGTCTCTCATACAATATACTATATATATATATATATATATATATATGCGTATATACATATATATGTACATATAATAAAATGTATCTAAAATATATTTTCTATATTTAGAAAATACCTCTACTCACTGTATTACATTGGGATAATTATAACAATAACGAGGACGATATAAAGGTAATATTCACAGTATGTAAAAATAAAGTATATTTCTCGAAAAAAAATCAAACGTCAGCAACATTAAATATTTAAGGTTAACCAAACCTCTTACTGATCTAAATAGAACTAGTTCAACGTTTATTTATCTGAGAGAAACTTTTATTATTTGATTGCTTACTTGGGTAGTACTTGGCGTAAATTCTCGTCCGAGAAAAACTATGGAATATGAAACACGACTTTTAGTTAACAGAGAGAAACACCTGGAAACACCTCCAACTAGCTTCCTCCTTACGCCCAGGATCACTGGTGACGCTGGTAGGAATGTTCGATCCAAGACCGATATTTTAGAAAATCGATTCTTTTACCTTTGATTTTCGATTTTCTAGATCGATTCTTAAGCTCCGATTAAATCGACGAATCGATTCTCAAATTCAAGATCGATCTTGAGATCTTGATCGTTTCTCACTCGCTCTCGTTGTGCAGGTATGTATGATGGAAGAAACCCGAGCACAATACCCACAAGACCCGGGTGTGCTATTGCGCATATACGTGGCAAACATTTTCTAACAACTAACGTCAGCGACATCATGTCATTATCCGCCATGTTACCGCGGTTATTTGAATTAGGCGCACGTCAGCTGTGTCAGGATACTAATAAATCATAAAATTAGTACTATATTATCAATTTCTTATTCTTAATAACTTAAATTTTTACAGTAACACGAACTTCCATAAAGTCAACAGTTTTGAATGGTGTCTCGTCGGTATTGGAAGCAATTCTCGTGGATAATCCTCGACATGTCACTTCAAAATTACCGTGGTGCAAATGTTTAAATGGCCACATTGGTATCTGCGCAGACCATACGAAATTCGTCTCGAGGTCGAACACACTTTGATCTCTTCCACTATGTAGCGATGTATGTATTTTTCGAGTCCATTTTTCATCCCAGAATTTAATCTCCTTTTTATTCTTTATATTGTAAGTAGCCAGTAATGCTACAGCTACTTGAAATTTTTGACTGTTTCTTGAAAGACCCACAAGATTCACTTTGGCCATGATGCAGATGGAGGACTGATATTAATATATTTTTTTAAATATTAATATTAATATTTTTTTTAATTAAAAAACCATCAATTTAATTTAAGGTGTAAGTTTAAAAGAAGTTAAAATGATATAATTTAACGTTTTGTGTGTATATATTTTTTTAAATATAAGAAATAGTTACAAAACATTGTAGAATTTATTATAGTAAAAAAAGATGTAATAATGTTTATTATAATATGTGTTATAATTATATGTTATAATAATGTTTATTATAATATGTATTATAGTTACATGTTATCATAAGTTTCTAATGACAACAGATTTTTTTTATGTTCTCACAGCTGAAATAGTTGATTGAGTTCATTGGTAACCTAATTTCCTTATCAAGATGGATCTTTGATTGGGAATCATCGCTTATACTCGTCCAACAATCGCCATTTTAGTGACCTAAATGCTTGATCGTCCCAGCAACATGAATGTCGTGAAAGCACATAATTGATAACTGTTGATAATGCTTTGGATACACAGATAAGGTTCTTATTTATGAAATTAAGGTGACTCAGGGTTATTTCCAATCATGCAATCGTTGAACATGCTACGAGACAATAAAGGAGTTCTGAAGCAATTTTGTAATTGCAAGATCTTGCGTGACAGCAGGATTCAGACAGAGGATCTATGGGTGCGAGATGGAAAGATAGTGAATCCGGAGAAGATTTTCTACGATGAGAAAATCAAGCCAGATGTTAGAATAGACTGTGGCGGCGCTTTGATCTCACCAGGATATATAGATGTGCAGATTAATGGTATTTAATCAAATAAATTCTTTTGTACAACATATATTTTACTTGAGTAAAACCAGAAATTTTTCACACATACATATCTTTTATTACTTTTGTTAAACAAAAAATTAATAATTCCTATAGATCATAAAATGGAGAGAGAACAATAGGATTCAAAATATTTTATCAAATATGAAAGAAAATTGTTAAAATTAATGTAGATGTTATATAATATTTAATAAGAATCTTATAATTTTATACTTTTATAAATAAATTGATGATCTAATATCTTCATTTATTTGTCAGGAGGATTTGGTATAGATTTTTCATGTAATATTGATAACGTGGAAGGAGGCATTGCTAAAGTAGCAAAGGGATTGTTGGAACATGGAGTAACATCCTTTTGCCCTACATTGGTTACATCTCCTACCGAGATATACCACAAAATCTTACCAAGAATAAAGAAACGAAATGGAGGTAGTCATGGTGCTGGTGTGCTGGGTGTTCACATAGAAGGACCATTTATTAGTCCAGATAAGAAAGGTGCCCATCCAGAACATTATATCAGAAAATTTGAACAGGTAATAGTTATCTATTCTGAGTAAATTTATAAAATAATCAACATATTGTGCTAAATTTATATATTTTCTAATAGGGATTTAAATCAGTAACTGATATGTATGGTGATCTAGACAATGTGTGCATGTTTACATTAGCACCTGAAATATCGAATGCTACATTTGTTATCGAAGAGTTATATAGAAGAAATATTAAAGTATCCCTTGGTAAGTTGAAGTTTTAATAGCTCTCAATGCTAATGTACTTTCATGCTATGATTAAATGCAATTGTAAAGGTTTCTTATTTTGAAGTTCTACATTTTAATTCTTATAATTTATATACATTGAATCTCACCGATTGTAATTTCTTCTTAACTAAATTTGTATGGCAATTTGTACTAGGACATTCTATAGCAAATTTAAATGAAGGAGAAAAAGCAGTTAAACATGGAGCATCATTTATCACTCATTTATTCAATGCCATGCTGCCTGTGAGTTGTAAAATAGATATATGATACTGTTTAAAAATTATTTTTGTGCACAAGGAACGAAAGTAATTGTTTCCCAGCTTTCTAGGCGCTGGAGATGATCTCGGTTTTCAAATAATTCTATCATGTCATTTTTTGTAAAAATTAGTTAATGTTGCAAGAAGGACTTACTTTAGCATATTTTGTTATATTATAACTATAATACCTGTTGCAGAAGTTTTATTGCAATCAAAATTAAATATGTTGTATTTTTAGTTTAAAGAAATTATTTATCGATTATGGTTAATAAGATATTAATAATTAGTATAAGATTTATCACACACATATAGTAGCAACATAAACTATTAAACAATTAAAAATATTTTTTAAATTACGTTATTTAAATTTATTAGGACGCCGAATATTAATCTGATAAATGTTATAATAAAAAATATTTGACATTATAATAAACTAAAATAGTCCTACGACTTTAATTACAATTTTTTATTTGAATGTGATGTGATAGTGATTTGGTAAACGGAATTATATTCAGCATCAAGAATATTAAAATATGATTACCTTTGTTTCTCTCTCTCTCTCTCTCTCCCCCCCTCTCTCTCTCTCTCTCTCTCTGTCTGTCTCTCTCTGTCTCTTATATATATATATATATAGTATTTTTCAATTATAGTTTCATCATAGAGATCCAGGATTGGTTGGTCTGTTAACATCCGACCAAATCCCGCCTGAAAGAATTGTTCATTTTGGCATAATCGCTGATGGGATTCATACTCATCCTGCGGCATTGCGGATCGCTCATAGAACGCATCCCGAAGGTTCGCTATTTACTATATGCATCTATACTTTCTTATTTTATAATGTGTCGTTACAATTTTAATAAAATTGAAATGTAAACATTTGTAGGTCTGGTGCTTGTAACTGATGCGATATCAGCGTTGGGTCTAGAAGAGGGAATCCATCAATTAGGACAGTTTAAAATAGAGATACGTAAAGGATGCGCATATATTGCTGAAACAAATACTCTCTGTGGTAGCATAACCGAGCTTTCCAAATGTGTGAGACATTTTAAAGAAGCTACAGGTAAATTAAATTATAATAATAAAATCGTAAATTATTATATTTGGAGTAATACTTAGCAATGTAATTGTTTGATGTAGGTTGCACAGTAGTTGAGGCTTTAGAAGCGGCAACTTTACATCCCGCGAGAACTCTCGGTATCGATTCTTACAAAGGTGTTCTGAATTTTGGGGTCGACGCTGATTTCATATTACTTGATGAGAAACTCCAAGTATTGTCAACATGGATTTCAGGAGACTGTGTTTATGAGAAGAATATTAGCAGTTTTTTTTTACGTGGAACAATTTGATGCTTGAATGTAAGTAGGTATCTTAGTATATAAATCCGAATCAATTACTGTATAAAGCAAATGGATATATTTTATGACTGGACGCTGTATAAAATGATAGTGAAAGGCTCACGAGAGATACTGTTATAATAAAAAGACTTAAGGCTTCTGAATAGTCACCACAGCTATATTGAATCGTAACGTCAGAAGCGAGAAGTGACACGTTAATTTTTATTACGTGCCATTTATAAATAAAGACATTTCGGATAAAACAAAATGATGAGATTTCTTTAAAACAATAATAAAAATGGACGAGAACTGTTGTTATCTCCCATTAATAGTCAGTAAGTAATCGAAAAGGCACGTGTAAGTGAAAATAAGTTACACATGTGCATTGAATAAAAGAACTTCATGTGCTTTTTGTCACTTTTTACGATTATTTCCTGATTACTAGGGGAATAAGGATAACTTTCGTCCATTTTTACAATTGTTTTCAAAAGATATCATTTCATTTTATTTAAATTGTTTTTATTCACAGGTGGCATGCAACAAAAATTAACGTGTTATTTCTCGCTTCTGACGTCACGATTCAATATGACTGTAATGATTATATACTCGGAAGCCTTGAACTTATTCTCAAAAAATAGTTTTGTACTTATAATGAAATTTTTATATATTTATACTCATAATTTTTTATTTAAATAAATTTATTATTTTATAAAAAATGGATATAAAGTTGTTATATATGTGTATACATATATACAGGGTTGGGAAAATTACTTTTTAAAAGTAATGCATTATCGTTACCGTTATTTGCGGTAAAAAGTAACTCGTTACCGTTACTCGTTACCGATTCTAAAAAGTAACGCTTTACCGTTACTTAAAAGTAACGATAACAAATCGTTACTTTTCGTTACTTTTTTTCTAATTATGCAGAAGACGGGTCTACTCACTGATTTTGATGAAATTAGGGCGATTCGACGCGCGTTTGTACAAAATGAACGAATCTGGCAGAAAAATAAGTGTCGCTCTGCCCGGCGAAGTGAGATATTAATAGTTAAAGTTGATGACTATTGAGGTAAGATTTCGTGGACAAATGCATCGAATGATCCTAGTTTCATCAAAATCCATAAGCCTGTCTTCTGCATAATTACACTTTTTTTAAATGTTAAAACAGGCTTTTAAGATAGAATGCTAAGACAGAATATAAATTAAATGTAAGATATTTAGAAAGATATTTATCTTTGAACATTTTTATCTTTTGTTAATATTTTACATATTTATGTTTAATTTTACGGTATTTTATTATATAATAGATATTTTAATTTTTAGTGTTCTTATGCTAAAGCGAGAATAGTGAATGAAACAAAAAATAAGCAAAAAATTTTTTGTTTATTTAGTACTTATAATCTTATTATCTGTGACAGCCATGATCTATAAAAAATAACGATAAAAGAGTAACGGAGTCAATTTCGTTATTCGTTACTAAAGAAAATGTAACGTCGTTACTAAATCGTTACCAAAAAAAAGAAACGAAAATATAACGTCGTTATAAGTAACGCGTTACTTCCCAACCCTGTATATATATATATATATATATATATTGTGTGTATATATATATATATATGTGTGTGTGTGTATGCAATTATAGAGGAATATAGGTTGTCTGTTTAATGACCGAAAAGTCCTCTATCATTTCGCAATTTTTGCAATATTTAACAAAATATTAATTTTTAATGATTAATTATTAACTATTGCGAAAATTGCAACATGATGACAGGACTTTTCGACTCAGTTTAGTCCGCTCTACTTGCTCACGAGAGTTGATGTGGTTATTACCGAGAATATCCTGTATATACAGGATGTTCAAAAAAGGTGGTACCAAACTTTAGAAATATATAATATTCGTGAAAACAATTCGAAAAGTCTTAATAAGCAATACTCCAAAAATCATTTATTTCCTAGTTATATAAAGCATTTCCTACTGTAATAAATAAACCGTTTATTTCGAATGTATGTAAATAAACGTATTTACACGCAACTGTTCGTTATACACTCGTCTTTTATGAGCTTCTAAAAATGACCCTACACGATCGATAATACGGTCAGTATTAACAAATACTGACAGTATTATTGACCGTATGTGGTTAATATTAATGGATTGACGTAGGAACTACCCCCGTACAAAGTATCAATGAAGACAATTCTTTTGAATCTTCTTCCTCAAAAAATGTTTTCATAATATAACATTTCTTTATATTAACATATTATTTCATATTTTTGTAACGTAAAATGAATAATTTTCTAACTAAAAACTAAATTTGTTTTTTTGTTTTTAAACCACTTTGTTTTGGTGTTTAAAAAATGACAATTTTTACTTCTCAAAATAATTAGAATTTTTTCAACGAGCGTTTCTAAACAGTTTTTTTTTCCGTGAGGAATTATGCCTCAGCGTGAATCTAGGTAGTTTTTTCTTTCAACTCATTGAAAAATTATGATTTCTTTTCAACAATTAAAAAATTTCTATGTTTTCCCTTTGCATTTTGCTGTACAACACAATATTTGAAGAAAACAACATAATATTTGAGTTCAAAAACGTTGAGAATATATTATAGTATATTATAGTGTAAAATAATACATTTTTTCTATTTTTTCACAACTAATTTATTAGAAGAAATGTGGTGCTGACATAAAAGACCTACGGTTCATGACGTTAGTGAAAAACAGCGGTTCATAGAGAGGGTTAATGTCATAGTTATATTTACAAAGGATGATGTTAAGTTTTGTCTGTTTTTTGGCCAAAATCAAAAAGTTTCAAGATGTATAAATTAAATATTATATTAAGAGAGCTACTTGAAGAAAGAAGGGCCATTACGAAGTTGAGTAGTGTATCGCTTCTTTTAAGGAAAAATATTTGATATTCTTTGTAGATGATCTTCTTGTTTTCTTTTTTTCCAACATGAAAAGAAAGAGGAAAAGATGAACTATGCAAGAAATTCTGCTAAGAAAAAAAAGAAATAGGACTATTAAGAATATGGAAAAAATCGTGACAAAATTCACTAAATTTAATGTTATTATATTTATTGATAAAAAATTGTAATTAAGACATTAAGACGTTCTGGGCATTCTGAGCAACAAGAACTGTATGTTGTTAAACATAATTTGTAAGAAATTTTTGAGCGATTGATGAGCGTTATATTGTACTTGATTGTTTTTTAGATTTGTTTTTAATTTCTTCCACGTTCACATACACAATCTTACTCCTTAATACACCACTCAAATCCGTTTTAAGTTTTTAATGTGATATATAATTATCACGTTTATATCACAATAATATTATAATTTGTATATCTCGAAATTTTTTGTTTTGGCAAAGAAACAAACAAACCTTAATATTCTCCTTTATACATATTATATTACATAAAGTTTCTTTACATTAGTTACAATATGACAAATTAAATGCTACACAAGTAAATAATATCGAAATGTTCATACTACGTATACATTGTATATATTGTATTATCTTAGATTTATTTATAATTTCAACGTACGATATATATTTAGTTCGTATATATTTAAATTTTTTGTTGTGTGGCATAATAGTTATATCTAATTGTAAGCATGATATATTTTTATTTATTCTACCAACGTTTTTCTGCGGAATTAGTAATAATTAATACAGCAAAGAAATAAAAAGAAAAAAATATAAAACTTGATTGTTCTTAACATTTGTTAATTGATTATGTCAAATAATGGAAAAGGCTATGCTCGAGTTGATAAATTACTAATTATTACTAATTGCTAAATTAACAAACTGCGTCCTTCAAATTACAAATATAGGGTGAATGCCTGATGCCAAATGTATGCGCAGGGGGAATGTCGAGAAGCACCTGAAATATGATAATAATTGCATTAATTAATTATGTATCATTATATTACGTTATAATATATTATTGAATATTGTTACGTTACATTTTTCAATTCTAAGGGCTATGGTAGAGAACGAAACAGGATGAGATGTAATTGTCGTAGTCGTGACGTAGGAGTGGGGTTGTTACTGCAAAGAAAAATGTAGACGTACACAGTTGTGAAAACCTATTGGGAAAATACGTTTCGTTCTCTGCAATAGCTCTAGCAATGCGCTATTAGAATTACAAGGGGTGAACAATCTGGAAAATATACTACTTGTTTTATTAATAAAATGTTAGCACATGATTTCTTTTAACAGGAATATCTTTATTTTGGAATAGTCATACAATACTTGAATAATCTGCACTGGAGACACTTTATATTGTTACGTTACATTTTTAACAATATAGAAGAATCTGCGCATGAGAAAGCTACTTTTGATTGGTCTGCCATACACATACACATTATATATTTTTATAGGACGTGTATACATATGTGAATGTGTGTGTGTGTGTGTGTGTATATATATATACTATATTTGATGTAAAATATATATATTATATATACTTAATATACTATATTAAATATATATTATACTACATTTCAATAGATTTTGCTTTAGCTACGCGATACCTTTTCCGGGCAGTGTGCTCCAGGTCCTGGAATCTGCGAGTGATCGTCGGGCAGGGAAAAACGCGCACTCATGCTATATGCTGGACTTTTTACTCTGATTGTGTCTGGTTTAATGCACTCGTATGCACCCGGTCCAGGTACGAGAACACGATCGTCCGTAAAGACTTTTTGCCTACCGGATATTGAATAGGCAGGTGCTGCTTTCTTATTACCCTCTTTAGTTCCGCCGAGGGCAGAAGGAATGTTATAGATATTGGGTGCTGAAATTTGATCAATTTATTTTCTTCTCCTCTCAGAATTTATAATTCTTTGATTATTTAACAATCTTATCCACCATTTACGTCGTATTCTTTCTTTTTTTTTTACATTGTTTTAGTATAGTCCGTAGCATATCTTCACGTGAAATTACATTTCTGACAAAGATTTGCATCTCATTAAATATTTTACAGAGTATAAAATGTACGAATAAAAATCGTCAAATTATTGATGAAAAGCAGAATGATTAAATACACCAATTATCTATTGTAAAACTAATTATTGTGATTCTGTATTCCATGCATCTCAATATACGCGAATAAAGTCAGGGCTATACTAACATGCTTTATATATAACATGCAATTTCATATTTACCGTAGATGGAATTGATTAATTACCTGGAACATCGTTTGATCTGTCCAAGGGCGGTCTAAGGCCGAAAGTAAATTGCAACGCTTTTTCCAACAAAAGCATTGTTTTTTCTGGATTGTATTCGCCTGGACCTAGATTATATATATTCATTGAATGATAGATTAATTTAAAAAATAATTTGTGCATTATATAATAAATTATAAGAATCTAGGTGAAAAAATTCTCATAATGTCTCCTAATGTTTTACAGAATTTTTCATTTTTTAAATTTATGAAGATTTCTAAAATAATATCTTCAAATTTCTTTAAATTTTATAAGTTTTCTTCAGAAATTATGTAATAAAAAATCTTATAATATATTAGAATTTAAGGTATAAAGAATTAAAAAAAAATTCTTTAGACTTTCTTATCATTTCTAAAAAATATTTCAATTCGCGTATTAAAAAAATTAGAGAAGTTTTCTAAAATGTTATACAATTTATATCAAAATTCTAAAAAATGAAGAATTTTAAGAAAAATTTTCGCCGGAGAATATAAAATTAGAACATTAACGTAAAGGAAACAAATTATCAATAACTAATATAACCCACCTGGTATAGTGTTTTTCTCACAAATCTCAGTTTTAATGCCAAAACTATATTGCGGCGACTTAGACATGTTTATTTTTTCAGGACTGTATGTACCGGGAGCTGCAAAATAAATTATAAAATGCTTTTGTATATTTTAAAAAAGTATTAATTGTAATTATTACATTTATCTCGTGCACAAGTTTACTAGGCACCACGCTAATACTACGACATATATTTAAAAAACATGACACATATAATGTTTACACATTTATTACACTTGTTTATTACAATATAGTCCCGCATAAAGACGATCGAATTAAAATGTTAACAAGTCGAAGCATAGCAATAATATCTATTTTATTTTTTTACTTTCTAATAAACATTATTAATCTTAATAATATTATGTACAATTGTTTATTTTCGTAAATGGTTAATGAAAAAAGTTTGAAGCATTTTAATATGACTATGGCATGCCTACAATTGCACAATACATTGCATTCATATATAACATCATTTCATGATAAATCTAACAAGGAAAGGCTTTCAACTCGGAAATTTAAAAAATTATGAAACTTTGGCAGTACATAGAAAGTATCCTGACATGCAATAAACAATTTCTTGTTTGTTGCCCGAATTCATCTTGAAAAGGCAAACCTTTGAAAATAATCTCACTTTTCGACCTTTCCTTGTAAATAAGAAAAAATGTAATTAACATTCTATTAATTTCCACCGATTACCTGGTGTATCATTAGTCTTATACAAAGGCTTTCTATTACCGAAACTAAAATAAGGTTTATGTTCCAAATGTTGAACTTTTTCTGGATTGTATTTATCAGGGCCTACCAAAGCAAAAAGAAATTAATGTTTTTTGTTCTATGTAATTATTACATTCTCATTTATATTAGATTATTAGATTATATTAGATAGTTTATCGTTAGTTTACACCATTACCTGGTGTATCGCGGGATTTATGAAGGGGTTTTCTATTACCAAAACTGAAATATGGTTTATGTTCCAGACTTAGAACTTTCTCTGGAGTATAATCGGCTGGACCTACCAAAAGTAATTTAAAAAATCAAGTTGTTTATTATTCCATTATTATTTTTTTTTCATATCGCCCATTTATTTAGAAAAAGCTAAGAATTCAATGTTAATCTACAGCGGGTTAATCCACACCGTTACCTGGTGTATCTTTAGGTTTATCCAAAGTTTTTCTATCACCAAAACTGTAATAAGGTTTATGTTCCAGATTCAGAGCTTTCTCTGGTTTATAATCAGCGGGGCCTAGGCAAGCCAGTCAGAGAAATTAATATTATCTATTATTATTCATTAAATTCTTTTTTTTGGTATGTTAATAGTATATCGAAGAAATGTGTATCTCGATAAAAGTTTTTCGAGGTGACGTGTTATTCACCTGGATTGTCATTTAATTTTTCGGGCATTCCTTTTCCGGCTAAACTGTACTGCGGTCCTTTGTCCAAATTTACTTTTTCAGGGCTATATGTGCCGGGTGCTATGACAAAGATAAACGATGAAGGATATCATAATCGCGTTTTAAAAAAATGTCTAAAACGTACCAGGAATATCATTAGCTTTCGAAACGGATCCTTTGCCAGTTAAACTGTATTGCGGTCCTTTATCCAAATTTACCTTCTCTGGGCTATAAGTTCCAGGCGCTGCATACAGATACCATATAATAAAACATAAAAATATAAAAATAATAAATAAGTAATTAATTAATCATTAATTATACCTGGTGTATCGCTGAGTTTATCTAGAGGAGTTCTAAGTCCAAAACTGTATTTCGGTGTAGTATCCAATTTTATCTTCTCGGGCGAATACGCACTCGGCGCTAAATATTTGTTGATATATTAATATATTTAAAAAATTATACATTTTTTATGAGCAGTTTTATATACCTGGTGTATCAATAAATTTCTCTGCAGGCCCTTTGCCAGTTAAACTATATTGTGGTCCTTTATCTAAGTTTACTTTCTCTGGACTGTAAGTTCCAGGTGCTACGAAATAAAAGTAAGCACACAATAAGAATCTATTCTTCTTCTGTACTAACAGAATCTTAATTACCTGGTGTATCACTGGGTTTATCCAGGGCATGTCTAATTCCGAAACTATATTGCGGTGTATTATCTAATCTTACTTTTTCCGGAGAATACGTTCCAGGCGCTGGAAATTACAATATACTATTACATCTACATACAACTTATTTCGGCAGTTCTTATAACTTTTATATACCTGGTGTATCTAAGAGTTTTTCAGCGGATCCTTTACCACTCAAACTGTACTGCGGACCTTTGTCTAAATTCACTTTTTCTGGGCTATAAGTACCTGGTGCTAAAAATAGATATATGTGATAATTGTAACACTTAATTGGTGGTAAAACTAATTTTGTAAGCATGTAATAAGCAATTTATTAGTGGACCTGGTGTATCGTTCGGTTTCTCCACAGCAGGCTTTAATCCAAAACTGAACTTCGGTGATGAGTCCAATTTTACTTTCTCGGGACAATACGCACCTGGCGCTGTTAAAGAAAAATCCCTGTTGTATTTTTCTCAGAAAAAATTGAGGTTCGTAAAACAGATGCATGAATCTTCATGTACCTGGTGTACCATTGCATTTCTCTATTTGGCTTTTGCCGGTTAAACTGTACTGCGGACCCTTCTCTAAATTCACCTTCTCTGGGCTGTATGTTCCGGGCGCTATATATCAGGAAAAAAAATATGTTATAAAATAAATAAAGGTAAACGTTTATACATGAATACGCATAGAGAAATTAAAAATGAAGTTTTTCTCTTTAAAATTGCAAGACGAGAAAGCATCATGTATCTCGTAAACAAAATTTTTATATCTCATATTTTTAAGAATTTGTTATATTTTAAATTTACGAAGATTCCTGAAAAACATCTTAAAATTTTTCAGATTTTATAAGTTTTTTTAACCAAATTATAGAATGAAAAATCATTAATATTTCAGAGAATTTACGTACGTATATGTATAAAAGGTTTTACAAAAGATGTAGACTTTTTTAACATTTCTGAAAAATGTTCTAATATATTAAAAAAAAATTTGATAAATTTTTCAAGAAGTTATAAAATGATACAAGAATTTTCAAAAATTCTGTTTATATAGAAATTCTGAAAAATTATGTGAATTCTGAGAAAAATTTTCGTCAATTTTCGTATTAAATTATTTGTAACTAGTATTCTCTGTAATTTTGTTTAGTAAAATTACTTGTATATAGGAAAAGAAAATAAAATTATACAATAGAAAAGATTTGCTATCTAATTAGGATTCTAATTTAATTTTTCATCTCTCATTTTTTTTGTATTATATACCTGGCGTGTCGCTCGGCTTATCGAGCGACATTCTAAGTCCGAACGTGAATTGCGGTGCTTTATCCATTCTCATTTTTTCGGGATGATAAGTACCTGGAGCTAGACACTTGTCGATAAATTTTACAAGTTCTGCCGTGAATTGCAGTTTTTTATTTGCAGTACTGTCAAGTCTCTGGACGTGGAGAATGATATATTACGGTGTAAAATAGAGAGATCTAACATATATCGCGAGACATGCAATAATATTACTTTATTTATTTACGGTGATAAGCAACACTACACTATCAACTTCACATGTATGCGACTACGTGTTAACTACGCTATCAATTTAGCACGCATTGCACATTTTTAATTATCAAAAATATACGTTCTTTTTATTTATCAATTACATCAATTGCTCTATATTAATCACACACAATTATACTTTTACCTACATCTTAAACGCCACACAGTGCATTGTTAATTTTGCTGTGAATTTAAAAAATTGAAATAGAATATTCAGAGGCAGAAAAGGGAATAAAAATTGAAAAATAAAAATTGTTGCTATCACGATTTCGTTGATATAATAATATATATCTTCTGAGAAATTTACAGTGCTTAGCAGTCTCAAATTACACGTTCATATCACGCTAAAATACGTTAGCCCTAATGTTTCTATGTTTAAAAAAAATCATATTTTGTACCTAAGTATCAATTCTTCAGTGATAATAGTTTTGAATATCGACTTTTGATACAATAATCCTCAAATGAAAGTCCCATAACTAATCGCCAATTAGTTGCGGTGGCATCGATTTTCCTAAACATTATTGCATCGATATAACATAATGTAGATACATTTCTCTATATACATATACGATTTATGTAATTTATTAATTATTTAAAAATTTTCTATAATATTTTCTAATCGTGTAATCGCGGAACAAGAAAATTATTTCAGAGATGGATGAAATCAACTGACATTCAGTAATTATTGCACACACGATATTGAGCAACTTTTAGTGTTTCATCAAGAAATTCAAGAAATCTTATCCTGATTTTATCTTGAATCAAGACAAGAAATTGTTATCAAGACCTTGTCTTGAAATCAATTTCCAATGTCTTGTCTTGGTCTTGTCTTGATTCAAGATAAAATTAGGACAAGATTTCTTGAATTTCTTGATCTTGATGAAACACTAGCAATTTTAAATAACACAATTCGAAACGCATATTTGTTATAACATATAAATTCTGTTATACAAAATTGCAATCAACATGCTAAATTTCTTATAGCGATTTATTTATAGTCTTGTATTACTTTGAAGCAACTGAACATTTTTCTTATTAGTTTGCCAAAAATTGTTATTAGCACGCGAAATACTCGAATTGCGGCTACATTTAACTGACTATACATATAATTACCGGACATATTATTCGATCTTTCCAATACAACTTTTACGCCGAAAGTAAATGCTGCTGCTTTGTACAAATTCACGATTTCAGCGCAATAATCGCTCGGTGATCGAGATGCAATTTATGTTTTATACATAGACACAATATGAGTATACGACGTAAGTGGTGCTTTTCGATTATCTGTTAAATTCGTACAAAATTTTTCAGTTGCAACAACTAAAATTTTATATTGATAATGCTTGTAATAATTTGTGTGCAGTTATTTTAATGATTATCAGTCTAATGACTATATATGGAATGACTATATATGAAATCATAAATTCTGCAATATATCTTATTGCAATAGATTAGAGGATAATATATACACATTGGCTATAGCAGAAAATTCTTGTGTAAAATTTTTGTTTTTTACATTCTTCGCATGTAAAATTCTTCAATATGATTAATTTATACATTTAGATCCATAAAAAATCAAAAGCAAGAATCAACCGTATTGAAGAATTTTACAATAGTTGCAAAGATGCTTTCTCTGCTGAACGCAGCTATTGATTATACATATCACAGTCCATCAAATTTTTCTTTCTAACGAAATAATCACCGTAAACTCTCTGTAGGATTAGTTATATTTTAGATTGGGATATTATAGATTGTAATATGTCATAATAATATAAAGATTATACGTTTGTCACAATAGTCATAGATTAGTTTAGTCAGAATTTTGTACCTTTAGCGTAGAGTCTACAGAAGTTATGATGTAGTTAAATGTGGTAGATTGTAGAACATGAAATTACTCGAATAATGAATATATACAAATATACACCTTATGCATATCTAAAATAATATACAAGATTATTCAGAAGAATCATTTGTCCTTGAAATACCATGTTCCTAAGTTAATTCTAAGATGATTTTTCTTTTACTAAAATTTTATCTGAAGCTTAATTTTTAAATTGAGTTATTTTTGAACCAATTCTGTTATCAATAAATCAAGTGCATGAGTAAATCTGCGAAGTACGAAGACATTGAATCAAGGTAATGAGTGAGTGAGTGAATGAGATAGTAATGTGTGTGTGTGTGTATCTCTCTCTCTCTGTCTCGGTCTCTCTATCTCTCAATCTCTCTCGTGTATGTGCACGTGCGTCATCGCATATAGTGTAGGCAGCTAATCGCAGAAAGCATCCTGAATAATCATCCGTGGTGGACAATAACTTGCGCCGCTCCTGTTTACTTTAATTCTGTACACGTCCTGTAATTTGTTAACTATTTTTTCTTTTAATTTAAAAACTAAGCTCTTTAGATTAAATTTAAAGGAAAAATCATCTTAGAATTAAGTCAAATACGATATTTCAAGGACAAACAATTGTTCTGAATCATCCTGTATGTATAATATGAGAGTGACATAACAATATATCTTCTATAAAAAGATACAAATATATATTTTTTAAAGAATTAATTCTATGATTATATATAAAAAAATATTTATATAGTTGCAATGTATACATCTTCACTTTACGTTGCGCATCATTCCAAAATTTTTATATGTCTATGTTATTGCCAATTAAAATCTGGAAAATATATCTTACACATATAGGTATACATATTTACATTTAAACTTACCGGGTGTACAGCTGATCTTCTCAATTTGCGTTTTAACGCCAAAAGAATATTTCGGTGAGCTATCCAGAATTATCTTCTCCGCCTTTAACGGATTGTAATCACCCGGTGCTGGTGTAATTTCGAGTTTCGTTGATTTCGTTCGACCGTATAGCGACACGGCTGGCGCAGCATCTTTTCCTAAAAAATCTTAAGCTGTGATACATTATCATGATATTTTATGATTTATTATTAATCAATTAATAATTAATAATTGTAATTTTAATTCGCATGTTTAAAAAGAGAGAAGATCAAAGAAAAAAAATGTACTATGTAATTAAAATAATATTTTAATTTTTAATTCTAAAACTAGAAATTTTTTAAAAATAGTATAAAATTTATAAAAGACGACATAGAAATAATCAAAAATTAATTGAAAATTACTTTTGTGTGATTTGATAAATTAAAATGTATTATCTAAAGCAGGTCAGGTCTAAAGAAATTTTACACGTATCGATCGTGCTGATTCTATTCAAACCCGAAGCGCAGGAATTTCGTGAACATCGGTCATTAAAATGTTATCATTCTTATGGAGTATTGGTGGTTAGAAGTTTGATCGATACCTTGGCCGACGTAACTTGCAAGTCTTGTGAAGCAATCACGCATTCATAAAGTGCCTTTACTTCTCATATGATACTTTAATATTATTATCGTATTTCACTCATATATTTCAACTTACATACAGAAAAGATAATAATTATCGTATATTATTTAAAATGTTCTAGTTAAATAATTTAAGTAAATCTCTTATAAAGAATAAGTATCTAATTATTAATAATAGTTTTTGGAAAAATGTTCGTTAAAATTTTAAATAAATATTTTGTCAAATTTTATTTGTGTCATTTATATACCTTTTGCGCTAAGCCCAGTGACATTATATTGCCCAGGGCCAGGTCCAGAGCTATTATTTTTCGCTGCATGCCTAAAAAAATTTGCGATATATCAAATTACATGTAAAATTAAGTTACATATTGCTTACTCAAATTAAAAAAATATAAAGCATACTTTAAAGATGTAAGACGAAATTACAAATATAACAGTTTTTCTTAAATGTAACGTAATATAATAATACAAATATTGCATTAAGGTATTATTGCATTAAGGTATTAATTCTTATAGTATTAAAATACAAAAGAATTTTATTAAAGTATAAAAGAAATTTATAAAAGAATTTATAAAACAACACGTTGCAAATTAAATTTAAATTTATTTTAGATTTAAGTAATCACCTGCTGCCGAAGGAGAATGCTGGTGCTCTTCCTCGTTTAGAATCTGTAACTGTTTTTCCTGCAAATGTTACAAAGTATTGCTGTATAAAGTGTATAAAAAGTATAATTTAAAGTAAGGATGTGTGATTTTTTAAAATGTGCATCACGATTGCGATTTTCCTTAAAAATCGCAATAAACGCGATATAACACATCGCCATTTTTATATGTGTGGTATATATGGTATACATTTGTTCACACACAATACAGATATTTACCTATTAACGTAGGTAAAGTTACACAGGCCGGTCCTGGGCTGCTATATTCGGCGGCAATCGGGCCTCGTCTTTTCGTTGGTGTCCAGGGTCTTTGGGTCATTCCAACCATATTACTCGCCAAATTTATAGTACTCTACAATTGTGATAAAAAGAGAATAGTCTATAATTAAATCTTGTAGAAAGGGGTATAATTGCAGATATTAAACATGAAGAATAATTTCTCTGCAATATAAAAATAGATTAAATATCTTTTTTGCACCAAGACACATTTCAATATGCTTTTACTTTTCAACAAATTATCTTTGAGAAATTGTACCTATTAAAGATGTTTTATTTTCTGTGCAAATATGAATATTTGAATACCGAAAATTTGTTCCGGTTCTAAAACGCGCATCTGTATTTTCAGTACAACTTCTCGAACGAACATGCCATGATTCTTTCTGGTAGACAACAAAATACGTATATATATGCGATGTCCATGATTTATGCAATGAAGGCGACCTCGAAGTCTCGGGGACATGAACAGAAACAACTCTTAGCGAACCATATAAGAGCATGTCCATGATGGGCATTCGCTGCGATCACCCACCGCTCGAGTTCTGGCCCATGTCATAAAGTGGGTGAGAGTTTTAAAAGTGCCCAAATATATACGGTGGTTAATGATGATGACTCATGTCTTACTCATAATGCAAAATAACACGTTTAACGTATGCTAATCTTTGATACATAAATGCACATCTATGATACATAAAATGCAGTGGACTGTAAATTTTGAAAATTCGAGCAATTAACAATTTTATCGTAATTTTTTCAATTTATGATAGTTCTTCTCTAAACTTTCATTTTTTTAAATGTGAGATAACACTTTTCACATTTCAAAGTAATTTTACTACTAAAATTACATTCAAAATTTAACACTTTAAATTTTAACGAATATATAGCTTTTGTTTATTTTATTCGTCTTACTAGCATTGGAAGTTAATATAAAAGAGAAAAGATTTTGTGTTTCTCTGAATAGAACTAATATTTTGGAAATACATATGTTTGCATAGCAGCGTTATTCGCATTTTTATATTACATCATATTCCCATTTTAAATATAATGATCAATAAAAAAGTCCAAAGAATACTGAAAAGTTAAATAATAAAACGTCGCCTACGATAAAATGTTTTATAATGACTGATTCTCATTAATCACACACACCGAGTATAGTAGACGCCATCGAGTTCATTATTCACTTATATACCAAAATTCTTACGTCATCGTTGCGATATTTTGATAAAATAAAAGAGAAATAAAAAATGAAGAGAAACATTATGCTAGAAAAAAATGCAAAGGTGAAAAATCACAAAACATCAATGATATTAAAACTATTTTTCTACTCTCAAAAATAGTGAAATGTAATAAAATCTTTCTTCAATATTTGTAATCAAACTTCCTCGTTGAGAAATTCTTTCTGTATAAATCTTTTTTTTATTACAATATTTATTATTATCATTGGTTATTAATCGTTATGACGCAAAAATATTCATAAGGAATATAAATATCGTTGAGCGATATTATTTGCTTCTTTTCCATCCGCGTCATATATATGTCTAAATGACATCATCATGTAGTATATACATGTATACATACTTATGGCAAAAACGCGACTGTGTGTCGACTACTATGGATGTACTCGCGTATATCCATATCGAGATGACACGTAGTAAGTATATATATATCGATATATGCAAGTATATATACATACACGTGCGTATATGTAGCGTATTTCATTAGCCAAATACGGGAATGAAAGTATGGAGTAGCAATTGATACATAAAAGAGTATACAGGCAGTATAAATGTATGTCGTGGTATCGCCAAAATTGGAGGGAGATTGCGAAATATTCACAAAGACGAATCTTAGAAAGCGAATGATTCCTGTAAAGAAAAATCGTGTCTTTTCTTCGCAGCTCTTTACCAATCCACAATTTATATATACACGATAAATATGAGATAATTAATAGATAATAAATTATATATATATATATATATCTAAATTTTGATAAACTAGTTATTTGAAATATGAAACAATAAACATTAAAAAATTTTGTATTTAAATTGGAAATGATCCATTCAAGTCCTTGTTAAAATTTTGTATTAAATTTTTACTACATATATATTCATGTGTTAATTTAACATAGTGTGATTATATTATTTAAATATTTTCTATTAAATTGATATTTAATAATTTTTTATATCAAAAAATTACAATTTATGAAGTAATAAATAACATAAAAATAATGTTTTAAAACGTAAATTAGAGATTAAAACGTAAATTAAATTAAAGATACATGAATAATTTAAAATACGTGTTAATTTAACGTATCATAAATGTTGATGCTACTTAAAAAATATACTTCTACACACGTAATTTGCTTACAAATTGTGTCATTAAATGTTCGAAGCACTTTTTAAGAATAATATTTGACACACATTCTCTCTCTCTCCATTCGATATTTAAGAACAATACGTGATTTCACTTGACACTTTTAAACAGTCTATGAGACAATGAAAATTATCCAGAAATTTGTAGTAGAAATAATAATGAATAGAAAGCTTATATATATGCGCGCGATAATGTCTTAGCCAATTTCAACGTCAGATAAATATTTACTACTTAAATGCCAATTTCAATGTCAGATAAATATTTGGGGTGACACATTACATATTTTAATGCAAAAACTGGTGGTTTGAGCGAGACAAGGTTATTCAAAAACTTTGCATTACTGATAAGAATTATTCAATTTTTCACATCTTAATAATTATAGTTGAATTAACTTGTAGTTTATATGAACTTTTTGTTTGGAATCACCTCTAAGATTAGTCCAACAGTTTCCTTGCGGAAGTTAAGTATACTTATACATCACAGGAATGTGTTATTGTAGGTGTTTTGATAATATTTAAATATAAGAAAATGCCAAGAAATAAGGATTTGTAAAATTAAGGGAGGATAAAGAAAGAATTATAAAGAAGATACGGGAGGAAGATTTAGATAGAACGAAAGGCAATATATTAAGAAAACTAACAAAGGATAGAGATAACGAAAAAAGAAAAGAGAGGAGAGAAAGAGAGAGGGAAAGTGAGCGAGAAAAAAAAATTTAAAGATATTTATTTACTAATAATTAATTAAAGCTTTGTGGATTAAGTTTTTTTTAAATGATGATTATTTTTAACATTCCTTTAGATCATACAACATAAAAAAATTGTTTATTGAAAATCATTAAGTGACCCAAAAACGGATTTATCGGCTCTTTTTTATAAACCAAGTTTGCTTCTTGGCTTATATATGCAGAAGTGCATTTTATTCTTGTATATAAGTGAGTGATTATTAATACAGTAAATAAGATAGACTTGAAAGCCTAAGATTATGGATTTTTTATATGTTGCAATATTAATAAAATTATTGTCTCGATAATCGAACTGAATTGATATCTTATAGTGTATAGTAAATTTTTTTTGCTTACTCTTTAGAATAATTTCTAGAACTCATTCTAGAAGTTCGTCGATTTCTTCACGGAATATTCTATATAAAAAAAAATGTGTTGCTTCCTGTTATCTTAGACAGATTAATAATCACTATATATTATATCATTAAGGACATTATATTTTTCCAATATCAGAATATGTATCATGGAATGTATAATTTTGCTCTACACTATCTTTTTGTTATTTACTATCATCTATTACATATATTTTAATTTTTTCTGTGAGCTTTCGTACGAAATTATAATTTACAATGTATTCGCATAATATTCGATCATCACAGTAAGAGTATTTAACTTTATAAAATAAATTTACTTACTCGGTGCCAGTAAAAGTCTGTAAATAAGACAAGATATCCTTAGCGTGAAGTAAGAATAGCTGACAACGATTCTTCTCACAAAAATAGTTACGTTGACTCGATTACCACCGATCGTACGTGTTTTATCAGTTCTGTGCTGAACACAGATACGCGCTTGAGACACGTTAACTTATGACTGAGGAATAAACGTCAAGGTATCGCGGCATGTACCTGTTTCCCGGATTCACATTCCCCACCTTTTGCGGCTTGCAATTTGATTGGAAGAGTCTGAAACTGTAAGCGCCTGCGAGCTTGCCTCGCGTGCAAATATTGTCGCGAATGTCACATGAAGATTTCCAGTGCAGGGCATTTATCGTCGAACAAATCAGAATGGATTTTGATCGAAATTATTCCGTTTTCCATAGAAAATACAATAGAAATCTAAGAATAATTTAATATAATTCCGATCGGAATTCATTCCGACTTGTTCCACGATAAGTGCTCAGGAATGAGATGAATCGGAAATTCGCAATAAAAAAATACAATTTTATTAAATCTACAATGACAGTAATAAATTGTGTATTTGATTCAAGTTTCGACAATTACAATCAGAACTTACAAATTAATAAAAATAAAATAAATTCTTTCTCTTTTTTGATAAACTTTAGATTTTTTAAATTAATTTTAACTCAATTTAAAAAAAATATATTTTATTAAACTAGCCTTAAAAAAATATTATAAATTTTCAGAATATAGAGAAGAGAGAGTTTTTGCTTTGTAATAAAAATAAAGAAATTAATTTAAAATACATAATAATGAAAATAATAATGTGAAAAATAACAATAATTACACAACAATAACTGTTGATGCCTAAACAGCAAATAATATTTATAGAACATTTACAAAATATTTGTAAGAACTATTTTGAATATTTTGTAAAATATTTCTGTGGTCTTAAATTATATTATAATGCACAAATTATAAATATTTATTACAAATTTTATATGGTAAACAAATTACGAACTAAATTCTCAAGATAATTCAAAAAGAAAAATTAAATAAACAGGCAATTGGGAATTGGCGCTGTAGGTAGACGGTGCGCAGTTTTTGTTTCTTTAAAATAATTCTATATTATATCATTACTTGTACACAAAATTTCAGTCAAGTAACAAAAACTGGGGATTTTTATTCTAAAATGAAAGAATGTTACTGCCACACAATGATATCGACTATTACTTCATTATACAACAATTTTTATACGACTCATGGATAATCAACGTTTTGTACCATATATATTGAAATTTTGCTGAGGAAGGCTAAAAGATTAGCTGAAACATGTACAAATAATGATATAATAATATAGAATTATTTTAAAAAAACAAAACGCACCATCTACAGCGCCTGTTTATTTGATTTTTCTTTTACAAATTTTATGAAATATTTATTATAAATGTAGCAAATACTAGGGATGGGCGATATTTTAAACATTTTAAATCGATACATTTTTAGACTCTTTTCCCCCGATATTTTGTACTAATATTTATAGACGTCAATATCTTTTGATAATGTACATCTATCGATATTTGAACAAGACTATCAAACTTGCGATATGGAATGCGTTTATATACTTACAGCATTTGTAAGTATCATTTGTTCTTAGTTAATATTATTCGATAGACACAAGAATGAATTTATGCCTACAGCGTAAAGAGTTCTCTTGCATAGATATCCTATAACTTTTATCTGAAACGTTTTTTCTTATCTCCCATATTTTTTGAGATATTTGTTTGGAGAGCAATTAAAATGGGACACTATATAATATCATCTAAATGTATATATGTAAAATTAATAAATTACGAGTCTCGCTGACAATTACGGTCTAGAATGAGAAAGAAATCGTATGAAATTCTCATCTTCTTTCACAGTTTACCTCGTGTTTGTGTGATTTTTTTTTATTCGAAACGAGATGTAATGTAATTCGTGAGGCTGAAAGATTTTTATTCGTAAAAGAACCGGTTGAACATTACATATCAGCGTGAAAAGAGGCACTGTTGCTAGCAACGCAGCAAAGAAGGGAGAACATTTGATCCTCTTCTCCCTCTCTTTCCTCGTTGCTGACCATCACTGACAGAACGGGCGAGTCGACATAGTGACGGCTAATACGATAGGTGTTAAGTAAGGAGAATTCTTAGTCACACGCATTATTAATCACAAATGTGCTTGTCTGTTAATCCGCTACGCATAACACACTTGCCTTATGGACAGCAATGCGACACAGCCGGAAGTTTCATCAAAGTGTATAGATCAGAGGATCCAGAATTCCTTTCTTTAAAGATAATATGAAATTGATTTAATCTTTTTCACATAGTTTCTCGATGCGCGATGCTTGAACAATGGAAGTGCGTTTTCTATGTATTAAATATTGTACGATAGTGTGATCAAGAGGAGAAAAAAAACTTGCCTAAGTAGGTGTGTACTGAAGAACTCTACCTACGAATAGATAATTGTACATGGAGAGTTTTTTTATTTTAATTAATTCGTGTGAATATTGCTGAAAATTATTAATAATATCAAAGAATGCTTCAAGTAGAATTAAAAAAGAATATATCGAAAATGATATTAATTAGTCATGGATAATTGTGATTGCTTATTGTAATCATCACATTTCTTACACTTCTAACTTAATCATGTTAAATTAAAAAAAAGATATTTAGTAAATAAATATTTTTATGCAAATTGTAAAGAAATCAGGTCGGTGATCGAGCTCTCTATCTAACTGCAAGATATCTAAATTAAATATAATTAAAATATTTATTGTATAAAATTTAACAAGTTATACGTTTTGTGACCATGGGTCACTTCTTCAGCATATAAAATTGGTAACATTTAATAACAATAATAAGTAAAGTCGCAATATCAAGTCGTTCTTAGTATAATATAATATTATCGGTCTTAACTTAACGTAAAATTTTGAGATCCTTGTAAATAAAATTATTAGGAATGTTGTACATACTAATTATTAGTCCCAAAGTAAGTGTTGAATTCTTAATCACAATATTATAATTGTCAGTACTTTCATTTGATTAGTCATCGAAACTTTATTGATAAGCGAATATCAGATGACAATCAGCATCAGTGATATAAAAGTTTATCAAAACCTGAGGAGTCAATGCATTCCAACTCAGTCAATAAACACACAAATTCAAATAAAATATTTTTATATACATAATTATGTATAAAAATAAAAATAATATTAGAATATTAGATTATAAATACTTAATAAATATAAAAAAATAAAAAATATTTAGGTAAAAATATTAATAGAATTTTAAATAGCCCATCTTTTGATACATTGAATAATTCGTATTTATATATATTTTTGCCGCTTTTTTTTAATCATTAAAGGAGAAATGAGGAAAGAATTATTCTATCGATTGTGTTACATAATACGAATATAGTACGAATTGATTCGATCTAAATACAGGAAGCGGACGTCCGGACGTACTTTTGTTATCACAATCAAAGAGATCAATGCAAGATTTTACTGATTTTACGGACAAATGACTGAATCTATTATAAGGTGATACACGGATAAATGAAAATGTCAGAGTGATGAGAACATTTGCGCAAAATAACGGTGGAACTCTTAATTGGCACTTAAATAAATTGTGACGGTGAGATCACGATCAATGTCGTTATATGAGAGCTCTCTATCTACGTAGTCGCAAAGTAAGCGATTTAAATGTAACGTAATATGCGAGCGATAATGATCCTCTGTATTTCTTTGTCTCGTTACTGCCTATTTAGTTTTTTATACATATATTTCTGTAAAAAGATTCTCACATTAACAAAAAATGTAAATTTAGGCAATGAAAGCTAAATGGTTCTTTTTAAAATACACAAATTCAATAGCATCTGCTGATGAATTTTACATTTATTTGATATAAAAACCAAAAAAGTTAATTTAATTTACGTAAATTGTAAATAATTTTTCGAATTATTTTTGCATATATTTTCATTTGCATTACTTATTTTTAAAAAGATATAAACTAGCTAAAATTAACAAAAATTTAATAAATATTCCGATCAAGACACAGCTTCAATTATCTTAACTTTTACATAGAGTTGGACGATATAGCGCCGATATTTTAAATATCGATATTTTTGGATTGAGATTCTCAATAAACTGTAAGGTTTGTTCGTAATACATATATGTCATAAACTTTAGTTTGTTTATCTTCAAATTGACTGCTATGTTACTTGTTTAGCAATAATTATCTTACCGACTGTCGAAATGACAAGACACATATTGTTCTCGTAGTTATTATTTTAGAATTTGACGATAATTTTTAACATACTAACTAGTTACAAAATGTTGCATAAGAGAGATTTATTATTCAATGTAGAAGCGTCGACTGTGTGAGGTGAGGTGACTATTAATTTTCAAATTATACATACGATAATTTAATTATTTATATAATTTTAGCTTGAGTTCTCAGCCACTCAGCTTTCTAACTTTGTGAGTATGTGACTTACCTCACAACAGTTAACGGTTCAATTTTGAGAGGAAAAACGTTGGAGATATTATTTTGTTATGCAATACTCCAACTGTTGCGCTCGGGGGAAAGATTGTGTTGTGACTTACCTCACAACAGTTAACGGTTCAATTTTGAGAGGAAAAACGTTGGAGATATTATTTAGTTATGCAATACTCCAACCGTTGCACTAGGGGGAAAGATTGCTGATGAAGACTCAAACCATGAGTGGATACGTTCAAAGTCAAGGTTGATATTTTTAATATTAAGAAGAATTGCGCTAATTGATAATCAGCGTTGACTCCTATTGCCTGTACTGTTATATGTTTTTTCTAAATAATATTTTTGGATTTTTTTCTCAACATTTTGTATCGATATTTTGTTTTGATCTAAGTCTAAAAAAATTAATCTAATCATGGAAACATCCATTTATCTTGTTTAAAAAAAATAGATGTTAATATTTATGAATTTTTATCCATAATAATTTCTTTTTAAATTTAAACAAGTAAAAATTTTAAGTGTAAGATTTATTTTCAGATAGCAAAATGGATCTCGATGAGAATTCCCTGCAGGAAAGCTTGCTGAGTGTCTACGAGCCTACTCTAGACAGTGCGCAAGTTTTTTATAAGCTACTGTTGGATGCCTTACGATTCAAGAATTTTCGTTCTTTCAAAAATACTATAGAACATGATTTGATGAAGCAATCACCTATTCTGAACCTCAATTATGTATATCCGAACACGGAAGAAACATGCCTCGACATAGCTAGCAAGAATGGTTTAACAGAGTTCGTGGAGTATTTATTGCGTTTAGGTGCGAAGCCTAATAGAGTAAATAAACTACATAATCGCGCTCCTATCCATTTCGCCACAGAAGGAGGACACGTACCCACGTTGATGGCTTTGCTAGCGGAACCAACAATAAATCCAAATCTTGAGGCGAAACAACAGACTGCCTTGCATATCGCAGTGAGAAAGAATGATCTGACGTGCGCCGGATTGTTGCTGGAGAACGGTGCTAGCGCAAGTATTCCCAATAGCAAGGGTTTAACGGCTCTCCATTTGGCAGCGATGAAAGGCCAACGGGACACGGTGGCACTGATATTGGAGAAAAGCCGACAGTGTCCAGACATTGACACTTACAAAGATTACAATGATCAGACAACGCGAGAGGTGATTCAGAAAAAGATGCCGGATATATCATTGCCGCCCAAAAACGAAAATCGTAAGATAAATGTGCACGATCTTAAATATTACCTGATTACTAACGACGAGACAAACTTCCTAAAAAATATGGAGTTTGTCAAGATAGAGATTCTTCACAGTGTAGCCGAAGAGCTGCTGGAAATGAGTGCACAAAGAGGCTTTTACAAAATTACGATTGAAATCCTGGAAAAACTTAAAGGAAAACAGTTTAGCGTGAAAAAAGCTGCGCAAGAGGCTGTTCAACAGAATGATTATGCAATTCTTCAGGTATTGCTGGAGATGGAGCCAAATGTAGCAAATGATCTGCTTCTGAATGCTTGTCAGGAACTAGGAATGCCGAGAAAACGAGGAATCGACAATACGCTCGATCGACTGAATTGTTTGAAATTAATCTTGGAACAAGAAGACGTGAACGTTCGTTGCAGTGATAGTAAGTATATGACTATCATAGATCTTATATTTGGATGCGCCTTTCTCCATAGATAGACAGAGACAATAAGGCTCAGTTTCACAACGCTCACGGTTAACGCTTAACGAAGGTTCAATTATTTCTCATCTCTCTCCAAGTATTAGAAAGAGATGAAGACTGAGCCTTAATGTGTTGTATTTATGACTATCATAAATAATAGACCAAGCATTTTCTGAACAAATAAATATCTGAATTATGTTCTGCGCTCTTCTAAACGTCTTTTTGCAAGCTTAATGATCAATGTTATCTTATTAGAACTTACATATCTGTTTTAATAGATAAAGGCAACACTCCACTACATTACGCAGCCAGAGCTGGCTGCCAAGAAGCAGTAATTTTACTTCTCAACCGAGGTAGCTACATCGGTCACATGAACGAGTACAATACACCGCCTATCGCAGATATCTCGGCACACACGCTGTCGCGCTACTTTGATGACTGTTTGCAGACGCGGAAAGATCGAACGAACGAGTATACGATGGAATTTAACTATTGCTGCTTAATGCCGCACGACGTTCTCACGGATCGATATAAAACTCACCGAGCAACTCGTGAAATGGAAGTGTTTAAATACATCGCCAGCAATAGCGGCCTCAAACATCTACTGAAACATCCACTGCTTTCCTCTTTCCTCTATCTTAAGTGGCACAGAATACGGCACGTTTTGTACGCAAATTTCGCCTTTTATGTGATCTTTTATTTTTTGTTAAACGCTTACATCTTGAGCATGACTTATGACGCTAGGATAGAAAATGGGATGCAAACTGAAACCAACAATAGATCCGATATGGCTTCGGGAAGTACTTTGCGAATTATTTGGAACCAACATAACAACTTCCTATGGGCCTCCACCACTGTAATGTTGCTGTTGTTCATCCTCCGAGAAATTTTTCAACTTATCTCTTGTGTCAGGCGTTATCTAATGAGCTCAAGGAACTGGTTAGAAATCGTACTGATTATGCTCACTATCGCTTTGCTGTGTGGCGCGGGAGTTCAAATCGGTGCTGTGGTAATCTTGCTGTCGGCCTGGGAGTTGGTGATCCTCATCAGCCAGCATCCACGCTTGTCCACCGGCATCGAAATGTTCCGGACCGTTTCACTCAATTTTATACGCTTTCTGTTTCCCTACCTGTTTCTTATTTTCGCATTTGCTCTGGCCTTCTATACACTCTTCAAAAACGGCAACGATACGAATTTCCCTGATCCTGGTCTTTCACTTTTCAAAACTGTTATCATGCTCACTGGGGAGTTCGATGCCAATGACATTCCGTTTATTTCGCATCCCGTTTGGAGTCACATCGTGTTCATGTTATTTGTTTTCTTTATCGCTATCGTATTATTTAATCTGCTTAATGGTTTGGCAGTCAGTGACACTGCTGAGATTCTGTGTAAGGCCGAGTTGGTCGGACTTATTTCTCGAATACGTTTAGTTACCTACATTGAAGATGTAGCGATTGGCGAACCTTTCAAGCACTGCGTTCACTGCAATTTGCGACTGCCTTGGAATCCTTTTGGTTTTCTTGCTAAGAGAATTCTTTTGTTTCCTCATTTCCTAAGAGATGGTAAAATCATTATCAATCCACATGATAATCTGGACGTTTACGATAATGATAGATATTACGGAAAGTACGTTCACAGTGCATCTGTAAAGAGCAACAAGCAGTGGACTACCTTGAGAATGGACCCTGACATAATTAAAAAAGCTAAACGTACTATTTGCAATAAGAATCGATTGACGGATAATGAGAGGATCATGATTACATTGAACAAACTACAGCAGAAATTGAGTACAATAGAGACAACTCTGAAAATTACAAAGTTTGTAGAATAACAATATCGATAATAATTTGCAATATTATAATTTATAAAAAGAAGTTAATGTAAAATATTCTAATATCTATTTTTTATATCCTAATATTCAAGACTTTTTCAGCTTAAATAATAATATATTTTTTTAATTGAATTGGATTGAAAGGGATTTAAAAAATTAAGAATTTGGCTATAATAGTCGTTTATCAAATAGTATTTGGTGTTCTGACCAATATGTTCTGCCAATGTTGATTGTGTGACATATGTTTCAATCTGACATCCCGTTTATACACCAGATTGGATATTATAAAAACTCAACAAACAAGATTACACGGAACACCAGTGTCTTAACAGAAAAAAGCAGGCTATGCCTAACAACCACATACTTCTCCTACAAGGGCCAATTCTAATTCTAACAGACTATAAGCTTCTGGAACAACTATCACCTCTACCATCTATCTTGTAATGGCATACATCTTTATGGAGCAATCTTATAAAATGTATATGCCAAGTACATAAAAGTATATAAAAATGTATGTATTATTAAATAAAAAATTAATTGCTTAAAAAAAGATAAAAAGGTCTTCCCAGGAACATTCCAATTGTATTATTTAATTTTATTAGTATCTAAATCAATTTTATACATTTTTTTTCTATATAATAATAAGATAATACTCCTCATAAAAAAAGGTCTTTTTAAATATAATTAATAATAATAATAATATCCATATTAAAACATTAAATATAGATTAGTTTTCTGTGCTGAACACAGCCATTTTTGTACATATATTTAGATTTAGTTACATCACGTTTTTACTGTGTTTCATTTAAATGCTCACGCTTTTGGTACCTTACCTTTGTAAGTAGTATCTATGACCACGGCCTTGGATAATCAAGATTGCACACAAAGTCGAGAACTTTGTTTGTAACTATTTTTATATTTAAAGCAAATTACAAATACATTTTGTTGAAATGATCTTCGTCTTTCGTGTATACATATGTATATACTTCTGCATGTGCGTGCAAGCAAAGATAAAAAAATAATGTATTGTTAACCAGATATATCCTGCTGTGCATCGGTCTTCTCTCTTCCTCGACGTATCAGTATATCGGTGTAAAACATATTGAAGTCAAGCCTAATTTAAATATATATCATTTAAAATTATTATTTATATAATTGATTTTAAAATTGATAGGAAATATCTAAAAATTATATGCACTTAATAGAATTTATCTAAGAAATGGAAGGATCCCGATTGACCATGTTTTGATTGGACTTCAGCAAAGCTACTTTTTCCACGTGCAAAAATAATTTGTTTAAAAATTATACAAATAGAAATCTTACCGACATAACACATTAAGTAATTTCTCATTATTATTATCACAACCCAAGTCACAAATTCGATCTAGGAGTCGTGTCAATACTTTGGTAAATTTCTCATCTAACGATACGATTGTTTCTTCGAAACTTCCTGTTCCATCTTTTGCTGTAGAGCTGTTCTCAATCTATGAAAAAATATAGTCAATTAATATATTACACGACTGTATATGACACAAATAAAATTGTAAAGCAATTTTTTGAAAATAATGAAAATGTGATATCATATCGAAGTTTTATTTAAATAATGTCTACTTTTGGCAAAATATTTATTTTGCAACTGCGCACCGAAATTATGTTACTTTACAATTGTTGAAAATTTTCTTCGCACTGACTGAATTATACTTTTAGATCTGAAAGTATAATCCAATTAGAGTCAAGAAAATTTCCAACAGTTGTAAAATAAACGTTCTATTGAACGCGGTTGATGATAGATAATAAGCAAATAACTGCAGTAAAAATTATTATCAAGTACCATGCCTTTTACGATTAATTATAAAAATATAATTATTATCCTTTCTTAAAATTGAATATAAATAATGATACATATCATTATAAATTATAACTCTCGAGAACAATTACTACAGTGTACATTGTACGTAATCATGCGACGTAATGTTTCAATATTTTTTAATGTAGATTTTTAATTTATATGACGAGGTATATATAATTTAGGATAAAATAACAGATATTTAAGGTACTATAATATTGCTTTGTACTTAAGGATGCAACGGATATCCGGTATCCGGCCTATCTGACCGCTTTTTTACAATCCGACCATACGGCCGAACAGTTCGGCTGTCCGGCCGGATTGTGAAAAAGTTGAACGTGCTGTAAGTGCGCCATAAACGCCGTTTCCTATTTACTCTGCAATAAATAAAGTTACAATAAATATAATTACAATAAGAACGACATATTGCCGCCATATTTGTCTCCGTGTCCAGATTCTGACTAAAGGATCCTTATATTTTTTATACATATATATAGGGTGTCCGGTAAGATTAATATAAAACATAAGTTATAAAACATAAGTTTATAAAACGTATCGAGTTTATAAAACATAAGTTGTACCATGCAAATAAATAATATACACATATATATATACACATCATAGTCACATGTTCTTAATAATAATGATCTTTAAAAGATGTCTCATCCGCAAAGAAATGCTCTTCATGACTCTAAGACTACAGAGATGCATTCGGACGAGCTTAAAGCTTTGAAAGTATACCTCATATTCATAGACATCTTCCTGACAGGTACCGATCATGGATGTCAATTCAGCATCAATGTAGTAGCGGCTCATACGCTTAACATTAGTAGAATATTAAAACTTAGTATATCAAAACTTAATATATCAAACCCTCATCCATTATAGTTTTCTTTCCCACTATATCTTTATTATTTATTTCTTAAATGTTATTTATTTTTTTAAATAAAATTTTATTTTTTTTAAATAGCTTCAAATCAAATATCACGATTCAAGAAAAATATTAAATCAATTTATAAAAAATATGTTTAAATTGCTACATAAATGTTTTATAAAACTATTATACAAGGGAAAGAACATGAGACTTAAAGTATTTATGTATTAGTATATTCAGAAATGTATTATGTATTAATATAAGTAAAGCGGTATAACGAATCCAATTGAAATAATAGTCGCAACTTAGAGAAAGAGATCGTTAGTTGTAATTCTATACATGCAATGAATTAAATAATTACTAGAAAGAAATATATAACAAAAGGTTCACCTGCATAAAATTGCAGAATTCTGCGCATATGGCGCATATACCGGTGATACAGCTAAGAAGATCAGGGTCCGTTAACATACATTCCTTCAAATAACTATCTTGCAAATCTTGATGCACGCTCAGTACATCATCAACATTACTAACCTGGTATTAGTTTATCAAATAAATTTGTAAAGTCAAATGTAAAATATATGTATTTTATTAACATAAAAAATTAATATTAATGTTGTATTTTCTAAATAAAAATGAGAAATTAATCATCACCTTGCTCATCTTATTTATGAATTTTAACCAATTTGGTTCCACGACTTCTACCATCATATAATATTCCAAATGCTGTATACAATCAAGCATTCTCTGTCGTAATGAAAACGCCTGTCTGTAAGCCATAGCCACTTCATGCGTGAAAGTCTTTGCTATTTTATTGCTGATCCATACTCTATAATTCATCAAATTAAAAAATTTTACTATTTTACTTTTCTTATTTTAAAGTTTTGCTATGGATATAAATCGTAAATCTGTTGTAAAATTATTTACCTGCATAAGAGTCTCTCAACATATTTGCAATAAAACAGATGCCTAAATAACATTTGATAACAAGCTATGGCCTTTCTATTAATAATTAGAGAAACTGGCCATTTAACATCGTAATTGAAGACGAAAGCTTCCAAACCGGTCAAAACTTTACCTGCTTGAAAGCAGTACTCTGCAAGGAAGATTAATTTTTGTTATATTAATTTTTTTTATTTAAATATAACTAGGCAAGTATATATGATACTTTTAATGAAATATACCTTTCTCATCTCTAGTTTGAATGGAGAGTATTCTGAACATTTGATATTGTAGATCGTATGGAAGTAATTCCGGCTTCAGATCATCTTTATAGGGATCTGAATCTGCAGTAGACATTCGCAAAGCAACTTCGAGAAGAGATGCTAAACGATGTAGAACAATATCATACATACTCTTATTCAATTCGGCCTCACAAAGATTCATAAGTTGGACCTAACGGAAAATTAGATAAATATTTTGTTACATAAAGAATAATAAAAATAATGAATAATAAATATTTAGTAGCTTCTTAACATTTTTTTAAAGACAAGGAATTCAATTTTAAGCATAAAAAAAGTCTAGTCAAAGATCGTTCATAAAAGGAGCGGTGAAAATGACCCATGTTTATTAGGATCCTTTGACTTATTTTTTATTATTCTATATATGCTCTTAAAGTCTATAATTCTTTTTTGGGGACATCCTGTATTTCATCCCTGTTTAAAATTGCATAAACAATAAGAATGAATTATATAGTGATGAATAGTGATGAAAATATAAATTATGATATTGAAAGTTTTTATACTTTAAACTCTTTAAAGCATTAATGTTAAATTCTTGTTAAAGTTTATATTAGTGCTATCTCAAAATGTACATAATATTATCTATATATCTATTCAAATTATAATTATCGTAAATCTTTTCACTCAAAGCTGAAAACATGACATAAAAATATATCTAATAAAATTTTAAATAAAATAAATAAAACAAAACTAATATTTAACAGTATGTGACTTATTATTAGCTTACCACAAAATCTCCTTGGGCAAGAAGAAAATAACTCTTTACACTACGTAGTCTACCCATCAGATCATTTTCCTTCATAAGTACCTCTAATAATTTTCTGGCAGCTTCTGAATAGGCCCTATCGATGGCAGCTATGTATTTCTGCCCTTGATACTGATAGCTTAATGGTTCTTGTTTTCCCCACTGCACTGTTTTACCTACATATAGATTTATTAAAGTTATAAAATAATTTGTAAACTAACAATTTAAACTAATTAATCAAAAATATGATTAACGATTATTGTATGTAAACCAATGCTCTATTTATCTTTTAATAATATAATAAATACGAATATATTATTTTACATTAACATACCACATTGTCTAATCACATTAAAATATTTTCCTGTTCTAAGTATAGTTTGTGCATGTTCATTCAAGAATACAGGTATTCTTTCTAATCGCATAGTATACCTCTTTTCCCAATAATCTGCAGAATAATCCACGGGAAGTTCTTCCCTTTGAATTAATTCGTTATCTTCTACAAAGAACTGATAAATAATGGTTAAGTATGAATGTATCATTTATAACGTACAACATAAAAAATTGACTTAATACTAACTTCCTGATATGGATCACATATCACTCCTTTGTAAACCCACTTTTCTAAAATTTGCATATATGGCATACTCGCCGCTTGCATCAGATATAAACACAATTCTTTAGACTTTGCTTCACCACTGACATTGTTTAATGTTTGCTCATGCAAAAGACTCAATACTTTGCCTCCTCTGGCATTCGCCTAATATCAAATGCTTTACATCACATTATACCTCTAATGTTTTAATTATAGAAAACACAATCTATATTCTACATGTATATTTAGAAAAAAAAACAAAGATAATTAAAATTATTTAATTAACTGATGTTTTAGACTAACCTTACATATTGTGGATGTAATTTGAGAAAGTATGGACATTGTAAGCATAGTAGGCTGAATATAAAACCATAGTTTCTGCAAACTTAATTTACCATGAATGTGTTCTGTTTCAAGTTGCACGACAAAGAGCTAAAAGACAGCAAAATATATGTAAATTAAAATGTAGAGACGAAAATATATCAAGTCTTTGACGTCTTGTCTTGTCAAATTATAGATGGCAATTTATTATACCAAGTAATCCTTCAGTAGAGATCGTATAGCTCCTCTTAAAGCATGATTGACTTGTCCATCATCCGGTGAGACCTTTTCTTCAACAAATCTCATTGTCATGGAGTAATAGGAAGCTAAAGGTAATATCTGTTGCGCTAACTGCTTAAATGATATACCTAATGGCAAAATTCGAAACATTTAACTTCATATTTGTAATGATTGTTACTTAAGATTAAAATTTCTGACAGTGTTTCTTACCAACATCCGGTGATATATTGAAAGTCTTAACGCCATAAGGACTCGTTAATGGTTCCGAAACAATATACGATCCATCTATTCCTTTCAAACAATATAAAATATCCCAAAGCAGGATAGACTCCTGAGATACAATTGGTACAACTTCTATAAACATTAAATATTTTAGACATACACATTTCATCGTTGTTCAATCTTGTGTTTAAATAAGAGAAAAAATTATTTACAAACTTTGATAAAGTGCTACAGTGGTGTCACTGTGAAAATCCCAAGTTATGCGTGGACGTTCTATTACCCAATTATGCTTCACTGAAGTACCATCACTTTTCTTACTGATCGAACAAACTTGCTGATTTAATTTCTTTCCTCCTTCTACAGCAGCTTTAATAACAGTTTTGCAAATCTATTGAATTAAAAAAATTATACATATGCATATATCAGCATATATTATGTAGAGACAAAGTAATTAATTAAGTTATATAACTGAGGATAATTTCATTAAAGATATTATGTACTTGTATATTATACAAGACCTTTGGCAAATCTTCTTGTGTAATAGTTGGATCCTTCAGAGAACTAGTGGCTCTCGGTAGGGATCTTGACAAGTATTTCTTCAGTTCCTCATCTTGAGATATCAATTCTAGAGTCTGTACAAATGGACCAAGTAAATCTACTCTGAAAAAATACATTTTTTTATTGTTTTTCTTCTGTAAGTTGTAATATCTGCTTTATAACCCAACTAACTTTTTTGATTTTAGTTCTTCATATTTTTGTACAAATAATTCTGGTACGGACGAAATCTTGGCAAGGTGCTGAATACAGCTGTGAGGAGCAATCGTGTTTAACGTATTTGTTGTCAAGCTTTCTTTCTGTAGCTTTTCCAAGTGTCTCTCTGGAGCAGATTCCGAACTAAAAAAATACACATATTTGTTGCGAGCAATAATGCTTTATGTAAAATAATGCGATTTAACAAATTTCTTTAAATCTACATAATTTTGCGAGTTACAAAATATGGATTTTGAGGCTTACCCCAATAATTCAATCAACTGCACTATTAAATGATGTAATTTAAATTCACTCATTGCGCTTTTGATTACTCCAAGTTTTTCTCAACTGTAACACTCGCTGTTAAATAAACTTAATAGTATTGTACAAAGTATACAAATATTTATTTAAATTTGCATGGAAATAATCATTTTTAATATACGCATTTAAATTTTAATCTCTACGTTTTTGAAAGCCTCTTTGATAGGTTATGATTATTTTCGCGTCATCTGGTGAGAACTTCGTCAACCCACCTCGCGGGAATATTTAAATTCCGCATAACAAACGACGTAACAAACGTATTTAAAAATTATATCAAACTATAACATTATACAACAAAATATATCAAATATGTTGTTAATTTAAATTTATTTACAATCATTTATTTTTAGTATTAATATTACTTACTGATAAAATCAAAATTTCAAGACTTCAAAAAACATGTAAGTAGTTTATGTATTTAATAAATGATAAGATGTTCTCATAAAATTAATAACTACAGCTTATATAATTTTAATACTACAAATCGTTGACAAAACATTGATAGAAAAATAGCACAAATATTACAAAAAATTATAATATTTTTGAGATAATGAAAATAAATTAATCCTAAAGACTATCATAATATATATTTTTGTATCAAAATATACTACGCATAATCATCGTCATTGATACATTATTTATATGGAAAAATATCACAACTTAAATAAGAGTTGAAATTTCGTTATATATTTATATTTTAAGGTTGCGGCTGTATTTTTGAATTCATAATTGAAAGTATATATAATTATAACATGGAAAGAGAAGTGAAATTATGTATATTCACTAATAAAACATTGTTCCAATTCAAAAAGAATTTCAAAAATGCTCTACTAAAAAATTGCTAATTTTAAAATGTGCTACTTTTCTATCAATACGCAAAATGTTTTACGGTGTAAATTACAAAATTATTTTATATTTATATAAATTAAATGATAAGTTTATGAATTACAAGTTGTCTTTTTGGGGAGGTGTAAAGTACAGCATTTCGTTGTAAACTCGCTGCTCAATTTCTATTTCGGTAATAGTTTTCACATTCCCTGATATTTCTCCCATCAACCCATCATTATTTTGGATTTTTGAAGCTAGATCGAAAATCAGTTCATTCGAATTGCTCCTGAAAACAGTACACATCAACTCACAATCAAACGATCGATTGATTGTAAATATCTAAATTGACATATACCTGGAACTCATATCGCTGTCATTATATTTCATAAATGGGATAATTTGTGGAGTAGTGTAAGTTGTTAAGCAATTGTGATTGCTAACGGAAATAACAGCGTGCTCAGGCTGCTGTAACTTTTGTGAAGCTTCTGTACACGAAGCTTTCCTTTCGTCGATAGTTTTTTTAAATCGTTTCATCAGATTTTGATCTTCGTCGCTGAATGCACACTTTTTTTTTCTTGATAAATACGATTTGCTTTGCAAATCTCTTATGCTAAAATTTTCTTTATCTTGCCTGTTCGTATCAATTAAAACATCGACTTAAATAAGAAAGAATATGTTCATACGCAATTGTAATTATCCACACGCAAATTAATTGTTAATTGACGTTACATTTTATAATTTTTATCAATGATGGTTTTCATATTTGAGATAAACTCTTCATCATCGGCGTTTTCCGTATCCTCTACAAAAGTGACATTAGTAGTTTGCTTTTTCGTTAAATTGTTTCTATGTACGAAACCTGAACTTATTTCTCCTGTACAGAAACAAATTCGTATCTCGCAGAATCTTTAATAATAAACATATGTATGTATCATTTTAATGGCAGCTACAATAATAATTTACCTGTCATAGAAAGTGAAATATTTTTGTAATCAATAATATCATTGTTATTATTGGTTTCCTCATTATTTTTTGTTTTTATTGCAACAAGTTGATGTGTTTTATAATATGAATGATTGCTATTATTTGAAGATTGCGAAATTAAAGGTTTTTTATTTATTTGTACATCGCGGATAATTTTATCCATAGTTTAATAAAAAGCTGGATATAATATCTGTATGAAATTAAAAAAAAATGAAATATATTCCCTCCACCTTTGAACAATTATTCTTCTAACAATTTTATACATCATAAAAAATATGATAGCAGTTATAAAAATAAGTAACAATAGTTAATTAAACAATATCGTCTAGCATAAAATTTTTTTCTTTCTAGAATAATAAAAAATTATGTCCTATTCCCCTTTTGCATCCTATAAATTTATAAGTTTCATATAAGTTTTATTTTATATTACATAAAAATTATTTTTATTAATAATTTAAATTATTAATGTACATTAATAATTTATGTATAATATATTTAATTAATATAAATGTACTTATATTTATAAGGCTGTTCTTTTTGGCTGAACTTTTGTACCAGTTCAGTCAAAAAGAATGGGCCTAATGATTCAAATAAATTTATAATTAAATTTAATTTTAAGCAATTTCAATTATATTTAAATTATAAAAAATATACTATAATAATTTAAATATTAAAATACAAAACACAATTTAAATTAAATATTATTAATTAGAGTAGTTTCATGCAATGTATAACAAACTAATTTAACATTTATATAAGAATTCAAAATTCAAAAAGTATTACATAAAATACTTTTTTCTTATACGATATGAATCCTGAAAAAATGCATTAAGTTTTATGCTGCATAATATTGTCTAATTAAGTAATTACAGTGTAAAAAAATTTAAATATATATTTTAATATTAATAATTTATATAAAAATTCAAATTTGATTACTACAAAAATTGTTTCAAAGTCGCTACAAAATTTCATTATTCGAATATAGAAAGTAAAAATTGATAAAAGTATTACAGAAATTTACATTAATAAGCGTTTTGTGATTGATACAGATACAGAATTCATAAAAGGGTTCTTCTTTTCTTCAAGTGAACTTCCGACCCGCAAAGGCAGGTCAAAGTATCATATATAAATCGAAAGAATTCAACGGTTATGTGAAATATTGAATGACTCCAAATGATTCGAAATTAGATTGAGCTTACTGTCAATACAACAGGGGCTATGTTCCAAACCTGTACTGGAACTGGAAATCTATAGCACGTAAAGCCCATGACACATACAAGAACGTAAGGCCGTAATGCTGGATTCACACTGGATCCGATTTGTGTCGTACGGACGCT